GGGCGCGACGCCCAGAAGACCTGGGGAAGTGGTTGCCGGCTCGCCGACGAGCAAGTAAGCTCGTCCTGTCGGCGAGGCTGTGTCGGTCGGGCCGGTGACCGCAACAGTACCCCCCACTCGAAGACTGCTCACCGGGCGGGAAGGACCCGGCTTAAGAGGGAAGCGGTCGTGAAAGGACCGGACAAACCCGGTCAGCAGGAACCCAACAACGTTCCTCAGGACCTTTCCCTTTCCAGTCAACAAGATAGGACAAGATACCTCTGGAAATTTTGGAGTCCAGTATAGAACGAACCTCATATTCCTCCTGGTCACCCACTACCAAGGGTGGAGGAGGAGTAGACACTCTAGTGTATCGATTGCAAGTAAGAGACTTGAGCACAGATACATGAAACAAATTGGCAATCCTCATATGGGCAGGGAGTGCCAAGGAATAGGTCACCGGATTGATACGTCGGACGACTCGAAAAGGACCTATGTACCTAGGGGCAAATTTCATGGAAGGAACTTTAAGCTTGATATGGTGTGTGGATAACCACACCTTGTCACCCGGTTGATAGACAGGATTGGTTCCCCGTCTCTTGTCAGCATGGACCTTCGCACATTTTAATGCCTTTTGTAGAGCTGAATGAATGGAATTCCAAGTGCCATGAATAGAATCCAAACGAGTGTTCAAAGTGGGAATATCGGTATCCAAAAATTCAGAAGGGAAAACCGTGGGGTGATAACCCTGGTTTACAAAAAATGGACTGTGATTAGAAGATTCATGAGTCGCATTATTCCTGGCGAATTCAGCCATGGGTAAGAGCTCATACCAGTTAGACTGATTGGCATTAATAAAACAGCGCAAATAGGATTCTAAAGACTGATTGGCTCTCTCTGCTGCGCCATTAGTTTGAGGGTGGTATGCAGAAGAAAATTAGAGTTCAATACCCAATTGTTTACGAAAGGAACGCCAAAACCTAGAAATAAATTGGGTACCTCTGTCAGATACTATGTTTTTGGGCACTCCGTGCAACCGAAAGATCTCTCTCAAGAATATCGGTACGAGATCTTGAGCAGATGGTCATTTTTTAAGAGGTATAAAATGTGCCATTTTTGAGAATCTATCGATGACCATAAGGATTGTATTAAACCCGTTTGAGCTGGGTAGGTCCACAATGAAATCCATGGCTAAATGGGTCCATGGAGCATTAGGTATTGGCAGTGGTTGTAACAGTCCAGGAGGTGACCTAGGAGGGACTTTAGAAACGGCACATATTTGACATGCCCCAACATAATCTTTGATGTTGTTCCTAAGTGTAGCCACCAAAACCTCCTGGAGATGGCAGAGAGAGTTTTATGGACTCCAGGATGACCTGCTGTGAGATTATCATGGAATACATCAAGTACCTTTTTTCTTAATGGTGGTGAAACATACAGTTTATCCGGAGGTTTCCCCACGGGTGCCTGAGTTTGATCTGCTATTATGGCACAGAAAAGTGAGAAGACACTTCGGAAACTGTAGTGGCAATGAGGCATTCTGGAGGTATGATAGGAAATACCTCCTGTTCAGGAGCTTCATCTGTCTCAAATTGTCTAGACAAATTGCCTTAATGTTCTTGGTTTCAGGCCTATAAGTAATTACGAAATTGAATCGGGAGAGGAACAATGACCATCTAGCCTGACGAGAGGACAATCTCTTAGCGTCCCCAATATAAACCAAATTCTTATGATCGGTAAAAATCAGAAGTGGCTCTTTGGAACCTTCACAGAGATGCCTCCATTCTTTAAGGGCAAGTACAATGGCCAAAAGTTCCTTATTCCCAATGTCATAATTTCTCTCTGCAGGTGTGAGTTTGCGAGAGAAAAATCCACAGGGATGTAAAGGCGCATCAGGACTTTCTCTCTGAGACAGAATGGCTCCTACTCCTGTTTCTGACGCATCTACTTCTAGAATAAACGGCTTGGTTGGATCGGGATGGGTCAGGACAGGTGCTGAGGAAAATAAAGATTTTAATTGTTCAAATGTAATAGAGCAGCAGGAAATGCTAGCAGAATGCTTGGTTGTATAGGGAGAGGTATTAGCAGTAGAAAGAGGGAAGTGCTCATGCCATTGTACAGAACACTGGTGAGACCTCACTTGGAGTATTGCACACAGTACTGGAGACCGTATCTTCAGAAGGATATTGATACCTTAGAGAGGGTTCAGAGAAGGGCTACTAAACTGGTTCATGGATTGCGGGATAAAACTTACCAGGAAAGGTTAAAGGATCTTAACATGTATAGCTTGGAGGAAAGACGAGACAGGGGGGATATGATAGAAACATTTAAATATATAAAGGGAATCAACACAGTAAAGGAGGAGACTATATTTAAAAGATGAAAAACTACCACAACAAGAGGACATAGTCTTAAATTAGAGGGACAAAGGTTTAAAAATAATATCAGGAAGTATTACTTTACTGAGAGGGTAGTGGATGCATGGAATAGCCTTCCAGCTGAAGTGGTAGAGGTTAACACAGTAAAGGAGTTTAAGCATGCGTGGGATAGGTATAAGGCTATCCTAACTATAAGATAAGACTAGGGAGTAATGAAAGTATTTAGAAAATTGGGCAGACTAGATGGGCCGAATGGTTCTTATCTGCCGTCACATTCTATGTTTCTATAAATGCCTCTCTCGCTTCTTTGGCACATGTTTTGCAATTTGCTCCTTTTTTGGTTAAGTTGGTAATAGGAGAAATTACAGAAGAAAAACCTTTAATAAATTTGGGGTAATAATTCGCAAAACCTATGAAGCGTTGTGTAGCCTTAAGGCCCTTGGGCAACGGCCATTGTAAGACTGCTTCCAGACATATACATAAGAAGGAAAATAAAAATAAAAGGACAGAGCGTAAACCGGACCTTAGAATGGCCGGACTAATACGCTAGAGACAGAGAATGGTCAAAGGGAAAGCCGAGGTCAAGGAAGCCAGAAAATACACAATACCATTTACACAAGCCAAGTCAGGCAAACCAGAATTCAGAATAACCAGGGAAAAGCCAAGATCAGTGTGGCAAACCTAGCCACTTGGACAATATAAAGAGACTGCGCCTTTAAGGGTTGCCTGTATGTCTGTGGGGATATGTGTTTAACTAAGTGTAATGTATGCGGGTTGTTATAACGTGTATTTACTGTATGGGCTATCTGCCGAATGCAGATAGCTGTATTTCCTTTCGTTTCACGAACTGCACTTTTGCGGGCCGTTCGTGAAACGAAATAACCACCATGTAGTAGCCCACACACTTAAAGACATGTGGCGCTTGTTAACCGATTGCAACAATGTTGCAATCGGTAATTAGAGGCTCTCCTAGGTGGCCGCCGTTCGACTACCGACCATGCTGCGGTTGGCCATCTTGGATCCTTTGTTCCCTCAGCGGTGTTTGGTCGTCGAGCGCATGGTACTAAAAATGGCTACTCAACAGCGCGAGTACAGGCCATTCGGGAGTTCCGGGCCGTTCGGTATTATGTTCCCTAGACTTCAATCGGTCTTTTGAATATACATTTTAATGAATGTGTTTTTCGTGCGGCGTTCGGTTGTTTTAGCTGGGATCTGAGCGGTAATCTCACGAATGATGCGCTCAGACCCCAGCTATCTACCGAACGTTTCGTGCAAATAGACTGCATATTCGAAAAGTTATGTATTTTAATATAAATTGTCGGTTCTGCTGCACGGAGGGATAATCCACTTAACGGTACACTCCTGTGGGAGGATCCCTCTCGTGCAGCAGTGCCTGATGGGAGAAAGGCTCTGTAATGTAAGTTCCCTATGTAGTCCACTCTGGGAATGCCCCTGGGATGGGACTCAGGAAACCCCTGGCATAGGGAATTGTATAAATTGTGGAGCTGAAAATAAAGACCTCAGTTGACTCTCAGAACTGTGTTTCGTCCGGTTACTGGGAGATTTGGGATATTGCCTTGCTTTTCAGCGCTGACTGTGGATTACTTCCTGAACCAGCGGAATTCGTGGATTTACTACTGCCGTTCCGCTACAATTGGTGGCAAGCGACGGGATCCAACTCTACAGCTGAAACAGCGCATTTGAATGAAAAGAAACAACCGAACGGAAAAAGGGAATGGCAATTCGTATGCAGCAAACAGACGAAATAAATCAGTGAATGGAGACTGATTACACTACTTTAAAAAGGCAGACGCTGAAGGAACTGCTGGAGGCTAGAGGAAAAAGCGCTAGCAATAAATCCAAAGCAGTATTAATTGCTGAACTGACGGAGGGCGACCGAGCACACAGCAGCACACCCCCACCAGCCAGGGAGGAATCCCCATATCAGAGGGAACTGAGAACCCGGCTGGAATTTGTACCCCAGCCAGTACCCATGGACATCTTGACAGTCCTGATGGCGGACGTACAGGAGTACATTATGGCACAACAGCACCAGGGGGCACCGTCCAGGGCAGAATCCATCGCTACTTCTTTCTGCGGTCCGGTAAAACAAAAGATACCGTACCATGCATTTAAAGCATTCTGCGAGGAGAAGGATGAGATTGACGGGTATCTGCAGGATTTCGAAAGGCTATGTGACCTGCACGACCTGGAGCAGGCAGTATGGGTGCCCCTGCTAGCAGGAAAGTTGGCGGGCGGGCAGCAGAGGCCTATCGCGCTGTCCCCAGAGAGGACAGCAAGGACTATTTTAAAGTCAAACGGGCAATCCTAGAGAGGTATGCCATCACACCGGAGGCATATCGGCGCAAATTTCGGGGATTGCGAAAACCTGAAAAAGATTTGCACGCTGAGTGGGCACATAAGTTAGACCAAGCTTCCCAAGGGTGGATTCAGGCAAGCCAAGCCACCACCATGGAGGAACTGCGCCAACTAATCCTACTGGAGCAGTTATTTAACGGACTCTTACCAGAGGCACAAGAATGGGTAAGGGTCCGAAAACCCCTCACCCTAACTGAAGCAGCCCGGTGGGCAGATCAACACTTTGATGCCAGGAGACATCATGGGCACAACAACAAGGGTCTCCTGGGGGCGGAGCCAACTCACGATCGGAGCGGTCGCATGTCCGCGGAGCTCCGTCGGAAAAGCTTATTAAAGCCTGAAAAAAGGTACCTTTCTGGAACCCAATTTGCCCTGGACGTAGCTAACTGTGTCGGTAAGCAGATGGGGCGGAAGAATAAAAAACCGAGGCCGGACCGGCCCGGGAACATGGCCGATATCAGTGAACTCTTTAGAAGGCCGCACGGTGCAAGCGAGCTGGAAATGGCGGATGTACTGGACGACTTCTCCGACATCTCAGAAGAATACACCCCGCACAACCCAGCAGCCCTTGGCTTCCAAGGACCCCCCAGGCCATCTCCGGAGGTGGACAGCAGCTCAATCCCACTAACCACAGCCATCCTTACTAAACTCTTGGCTGACCTCAGACAAAGTCTCTCTGCAGATATCTCCCAAGATGTCAGGGGATTCACAGCCCGTTTAATCACAGTGGAAAAAGCAGTGGAGGAGCACACCCCTCAAATAGCAGACCTGCAGAAGCAGGTGAGGGACCTCACCAAGGCGCAGGCTAACTTTGACAGCCAGCTAGCAATTCGGGAAGATAAGAGGAGGTGGAAACACCTAAAAATTAGAGGCCTATCGGACTCCATCACTATGGCAGAGATGCCACACTTCCTACGTAGGCTGTTCATGGCATTACTACCCCCTAAAACAGCAAAGAACATTCAACTGGATGGAATGTTTCGTCTACCCAAGCCTCAGCCCAACACAGCCCCAACCACCGGCGACCTCCTGGTTAAGTTTCAAAACGGGCAAGACAAAGCAGCCATCTTACAAGCTACCAGAGGGAAGACCCCATATCACTTTGAAGAAATGGACCTCACGTTCTTTGCTGACCTCTCCCGCTCGACGTTGCAGTGGAGGAGGTCGCTGAGACCACTGGCATCCACGCTTACATCCCAAGGCATAAAGTATCACTGGGGCACACCTCGTGCGCTGACTTTCCAACATAATGGTGTGGAACACAGAGTCACGGAGGCATCTGAAATGGACGCTATCCTGTCCTCCCTGAAACCGAGCCCTGACCCTCGACCCACGAACCCCACCTGGAACCCCGCTACCGTGGTTCCGTTCACTCCAGCATCTCGAGGACCAAAGGGCGCACCTGTCACCTGAACACGGAACCATCTGTGTTGGGACCTGTACCCTCTCTTTTTCTAATAAGTTACCGGCATTTTATTTTTATTTTTATGTCTTAGTTATGGTTAAAACGTTGTGCTTTACTTAGGAACCACTCCCCTCCCCATACCGCATATGGCGGAACGACCGTACTGGTCGACAATGGGCGAAAGGAGACCCACCTATCCCCCCTAATTACTTCCATCCTACCCTCCCCCCCCCAGCTCCAGCTCTTCTTGACCCACACATAAACAGTTGGCGGAGCTGCCTCACTAAAAAACTTGAGACACCATACCAAGTTACTTGATCCTTAAGGATCCGCTATTTTAAGCTACCCTACACCACAGTGGTCCTACTTACGAGCCCTCACCCTGTACTATTTCTCGGGCCTACTACTTAGTCCAAACAGGGCTCCACATCCCGGTAGGAAGCGAGATCACTAAAAATTAAAATGATCTCTCACTTGTTTGCCCAACGTGTACCTCCCAATATATCACTGCCATTGATCGATCCGCTTCTTGCATAGCATGTAACTTGACCTCTATTGTATATTTTTTATTTTTTATTTTGCATTTCTACAATTGAAATTGCGTAGTTTAACTACCAAACCATTATTATAAATACCGTGCTGTTTACTCAAGTAGAAACGTAATGTTATTGCTCACTACGACTGTTGTCATGTTTCACTATTTCATTGTGTTCTTGACGCATGCCGGCAATTGCTGTTGTGGCATTGCGGGCTACCTTGTATTCTTTTGCACGACCAAAAATAAAGAATTTTAAAAAAAAAACAAAACAACAAGGGTCTCCTGAGACCACCTGTACAGCACCACCCGACCACCTCCGCACCAGTCAACTCCACTCCGTTCCGGCCAGCACAAGGGAACCCCCCACCACCGTCCCGCTACAATGGCAGGGCAAACATCCAATGCCATACCTGCCGTCAGTGGGGGCATATGTCCTGGGAGTGCACGCAGAATCGGAGTAGACAGGCGTGGAACCAAGTGCGGCAGAATTCCACCCCAAGGGCAGCAGCACATCACTATCAAGTAGAACCGGACACCCCAGAGCTGATGAGCCTGCAGACCGAGGAACCTCTGGGTGTTTTGTATGAGGTGATGTCTGTTCAAGCCACGGACAACAGGCAGCATCACCGTCAAGTTGTGTTTGTGGGGGGAAAGAAGTACAGGGGCTGAGGGACTCGGGAGCTACTTTAACCCTGGTTGCTCCTCATTTGGTCCCGGATACAGCGCACACTGGCGGATCTGTAGCAGTCAGGGTGGCAGGGGGAGCCATGTACCGTCTACCCACTGCTAAGGTGCATTTGAACTGGGGTGCTGGGGAGGGGGTTGTGGAAGTGGCTATGATGAAGAAGTTACCGGCAGACGTCGTACTGGGGAATGACTTGGGCCAGATGACTTCTGCCTTTGTACCTCAGGTCCCTTCGCAAGAAGCTCATCCCGTAACTACTCAGCAACAGGCTCGCACCACGGTTCCACCAGCACACTCTGAGGCTCAGGTAAGAGACCATGACCCCCCCTCGACTCATATGACCTGGGACACCCCGACCACCTTTGAAGCCGAAGTCCAGACAGACCCCACACTGCAGGTGTACAGGGATAGGGTAGACACTGACCAGGTAGGGCGGGAGGGGGAGCGGTACATTTGGGAAAACAAATTATTGTACCGGATAGCTGAAAGGGCGATAGGGAACTCTGTGACAGTACAAACCAAACAGCTGGTAGTGCCCCAGAAATATCGACCCGAGTTACTGAGAATAGCTCATGACATCCCTCTGTCTGGCCATTTAGGGATGACCCGTACCCGTTACTGCTTAACCCACGCTTTCTTCTGGACGGGGATTTCTAAAGATGTGAGGCACTACTGTACCTCCTGTGACGTATGTCAGCGGGTAGGTAAGAGAGGGGATCGCCACAAAGCTAAACTGTGTCCCCTGCCTATTATTGAGGAACCTTTTAGCTGTGTGGCCGTAGACATAGTAGGACCGCTAGCCAAACCCAGCCCCTCTGGGAAGCGGTATATACTAACCATGGTGGACTACGCCACCGGGTACCCCGAGGCGATTGCCCTAACGAATATTCATGCGGAGACAGTGGCAGAAGCCCTGATGAAAATCTTTTCGAGAGTAGGGTTCCCGCAGGAAATTATCTCCGATAGGGGGACGCAATTTACAGCAGAGGTCACCCAGCAGTTATGGAGAATCTGTGGCATTAAGCCAATCGTTAACTCTGTGTACCATCCCCAATCCAACGGATTATGTGGTACCCTGAAACAGATGCTCCGTACATTCGGAGAGACCCATAAGGACTGGGAACGGTTTCTTCCCCATCTGTTGTTTGCGTATAGGGAGGTACCCCAAGAATCTACCGGCTTCTCCCCGTTTGAGCTGTTGTTTGGGAGAAGGGTACAGGGACTGTTGGACCTCATTAGAGAGCATTGGGAGGGAGAGAGTAGTGCAGATGGGACCCCTATTGTACCATATGTGCTGGCGTTCCGGGATCGCCTGGAGGAATTGACCCAGGCAGTGCGCACTAACCTCCAGGCCGCCCAACAACGTCAGCGCCGCTGGTATGACAGGGGGGCCAGAGACCGTAGTTTTCAAGTGGGGCAGAAGGTGCTGATTCTCAAACCTGTCCGCACAGTCAAACTACAGGCCGTCTGGCAGGGCCCATACCAGGTGGTAGAGCAGAGATGCGATACCACCTATGTGATCGGCCCATGCTCCGGGGTAGGGAAGCGACGCATGCTCCATGTGAACATGCTCAAACCCTACCACGAGAGAACCGAGGACGTGGCGGCCATATGCACGCCCGCCTCGGAAGATCAGGAGAACCTACCTCTCCCAGATCTGTTAGAGCAGGAGGAGCAGAAGGAGCCCTCCCAGGGGGTTCAGCTGGGGGAGCGGCTAAGTCCTCAAGAGCGCACCCAGGTACAAGAACTGATGTCGGCGAAGGGCGCCACCCTTTCTAACTTACCTGGGTACACTCCACTGGCCACCCACTGAGTAGAAACCCCGGGACAGCTTCCCATGCGACAGACCCCATATCGGATTCCCGAATCCGTACGGGAGCATATGAGGAAAGAAATTGAGGAGATGTTGCAGTTAGGGGTTATCGAACACTCTGATAGCCCCTGGGCATCGCCGGTAGTCCTGGTTCCCAAGAAAGACGGTAAAACCCGGTTTTGTGTGGACTACCGGAGGCTAAACGACAAAACCATGTTGGACGCCTACCCGATGCCCCGGATAGACGAACTGCTAGATATGATGGCCAGAGGTCAGTATCTCACTACAATAGATCTTTGTAAGGGATACTGGCAAATTCCACTAGCCGAGGACGCCATTCCCAAGTCGGCGTTTGTCACCCCGTTTTGCTTGTACCAATTCCAAGTCATGCCATTCGGGATGAAGAACGCCCCCGCAACATTCCAGCGGATGGTGGACTGGCTACTGGATGGGTTCCAGGATTATGCATGTGCATACCTGGACGATATTGCCATCTATAGCCAGACCTGGGCCGATCATCTACGCCACATAGGGGCCGTAATAGATCGGATTGGAGAGTCAGGGCTCACCTTAAAACCTAGCAAGTGCCACATAGGGATGGCGGAGGTGCAATACTTAGGACACCGAGTGGGGAGCGGGCAACAGAAGCCTGAGCCCGCAAAGATTGAAGCCGTAGCTAAGTGGCCAGCCCCTAGGACTAAAACTCAAGTCCTTGCCTTCTTAGGTACCGCCGGGTATTATAGGAAGTTTGTGCCCAACTACAGTGCCCTGGCCAAGCCCCTGACCGACTTGACACATAAAAACCTACCCAGACAGGTCATCTGGGCCCCGGAGTGTGAACAGGCATTCAACCAACTTAAGACGGCTCTGACAAATGCTCCTGTACTTGCTGCTCCTGATCCAACTAAACGTTTTCTTGTCCACACAGACACTTCAATGTTTGGATTGGGAGCAGTACTGAGCCAGGTTGGAGCAGATGGCGGAGAACATCCCGTAGCATATTTGAGCCGGAAACTGTTACCTCGAGAAGTGAGCTAGGCCGCCATCGAAAAAGAATGCCTGGCCGTGGTGTGGGCCCTGAAAAAGTTACAACCATATCTCTATGGGCAACCCTTTTCTTTGCTCACAGATCACAACCCGTTGGTGTGGCTGATCCATGTGGCTGGGGACAACGCCAGACTGCTGCGCTGGAGTTTGGCGTTGCAGCCTTTTGACTTCACCATCCATTATCACCCCGGGAAACAAAACGGTAATGCCGACGGGTTATCTAGACAAACAGACCTTGAGAAGTGACTTGGGAGCCCTCCTCCGGACATCCCCAAGCCGATCCGTTGGGATCAGACTGTGTATGCCGGCTTGGTTCTGGGGGAGCATTGTGGCAAACCTAGCCACTTGGACAATATAAAGAGACTGTGCCTTTTGAGGGTTACCTGTATGTCTGTGGGGATATGTGTTTAACTAAGTGTAATGTATGCGGGTTGTTATAACGTGTATTTACTGTATGGGCTATCTGCCGAATGCAGATAGCTGTATTTCCTTTTGTTTTACGAACGGCACTTTTGCGGGCCGTTCGTGAACCAAAATAACCAACATGTAGTAGCCCACACACTTAGAGACATGTGGCGCTTGTTAACCGATTGCAACAATGTTGCAATCGGTAATTAGAGGCTCTCCTAGGTGGCCGCCATTCGACTACCGACCATGCGGCGGTCGGCCATCTTGGATCCTTTGTTCCCTCAGCGGTGTTTGTTCGTCGAGCGCATAGTACTAAAAACGGCTACTCGACAGCGCGAACACCGCTGAGCTTCCAGGCCGTTCGGGAGTTCCGGGCCGTTCGGTATTATGTTCCCTAGACTTCAATCGGTCTTTTGAATATACATTTTAATGAATGTGTTTTTCGTGCGGCGTTCGGTTGTTTTAGCTGGGATCTGAGCGGTAATCTCACGAATGATGCGCTCAGACCCCAGCTTTCGTGCAAATAGACTGCATATTCGAAAAGTTATGTATTTTAATATAAATTGTCAGTTCTGCTGCATGGAGGGATAATCCACTCAACGGTACATTCCTGTGGGAGGATCCCTCTCGTGCAGCAGTGCCTGATGGGAGAAAGGCTCTGTAATGTAAATTCCCCATGTAGTCCACTCTGGGAATGCCCCTGGGATGGGACTCAGGAAACCGCTGGCATGCGGAATTGTATAAATTGTGGAGCTGAAAATAAAGACCTCAGTTGACTCTCAGAACTGTGTTTCGTCCGGTTACTGGGAGATTTGGAATATTGCCTTGCTTTTCAGCGCTGACTGTGGATTACTTCCTGAACCAGCGGAATTTGTGGATTTACTACTGCCGTTCCGCTACAATCAGGATACCAGGAAATCAGATTCACAAAGATAAAGCACTCTCAGGAAACCACGACAGGGCGACCTCTGACCCCAAAACGTTTGTGTGCGTTGACGTCGTGATGTCACGTGCATGTTATTATAATTTTCGGGGGCGGAGCTAGAGAAGGACTCAGTGCAGATCCAAATAGGGTAGGTGAATTCTTGAATCCTTGAGGTAACCTGGTCCAAGTAATCTGACGCTTTGATCCCGTAACAGCATCTTCCCATTGAAAAGCAAAGATGGACTGCCTTTCAGCAGCAAGTTGAAGGCAAAAGAAAGCATCTTTAAGATCTAGAACTGTAAAATAAAGTGCCCCACCCGGAATTAGGGCAAGCAGATTATAGAGGTTGGGTACCACTGGGTGTATATTAACTACTGCATCATTAACTGCTCTTAAATCTTGTACAGGACGATACTAATCTGATCCTGGTTTCTGAACAGGTAATAATGGAGTGTTCCAAGGGGAGGTACAGAATTTTAGGATGCCATACTTCACGAACTTATCCAAGTAGATCTGTATGTTTTTCTTGGCCTTCTGAGGTATGTGATACTGGCGTAGGCTCACAGGATAGGCCCCAAGCTTTAGTTCAATATGTATCGGTGGGATATTACGAGCTAGTCCTGGAGGATTATTCTCTGCCTATACTCCTGGAATGTCAAATAAAGATCCAACTTAGTCACCACAGAATGTTCAGCACCCGTATCAGTCATGAAAGGACTTATCTTTCCCCTTATTGATACATTGACCATAGGCTCCGCTCGGCCAAGGGGGCTGGAGCCCGGTCGGTATCAATAGTCTTCCATGACAATGTCAGCCAGACCCACAAAATCTCTATTTTCACTATCCCTAAGTCTCTGAGTAGGGGTCCTTCCTGAACACCCCCATTTACATTAAATCCTCCAAAACTTACTCTTCCTCGTCCTCTAAAGCTACCACGGTAACCACCTCGCCCCCTTCACTCTTCTTGTCTACCACCTACAATATATCCCCTCTGTGGGCAGTCACTCTTCCAATGTCCTTCCTCTCTACAATATTATTATTATTATTATTATTTTATTATTTATATAGCGCCAACAAATTCCGTATCGCTGTACAATCGGTGGACTAACAGACACATAATTGAGATCAGACCACTGATGTACAGGAACAGAGGGGGTTGAGGGCCCTGCTTGATGAGCTTACATGCTAGAGGGAGTGGGGTATAGTGACACAAAGGGTTAAAGTAGGGGAATTAAATAGTTTGTTACAGAAGGGTTTATTGAGTGCTTGGTAGGTCATATTTGACAGGTGAAGGAACGGAGTCATGGGGTGGGGGATGAGAAACCTGCTGACAGTTTAATTGATACGCTTTAATAAAGAAGTGAGTTTTCAAAGATTTTTTGAAGGAATGGAGGCTGGGTGAAAGTCTGATTGAGGAGGGAAGGGAGTTCCACAGAATAGGTGCAGCCCTGGAGAAGTCTTGAAGGCGAGCATCAGAGGTGGGGATCCGGGCAGAGGATAGGAGTAGGTCTTGGGCTGAGCGCAGGGGTCTCGTCGGGACATACTTGTGTATGAGGGAAGATTGGTATGTTGGAGCAGCATTATGTAGGGATTTGTAAGCAACCGCCAGAATTTTGAATTGGGCCCTATATCTAACTGGAAGCCAATGCAGGGACTGACAGAGCGTGGAGGCGTGGGAGGTGCGACTGGACAGGAAAATAAGCCTTGCAGCCGTATTCATTATAGATTACAGCGGTGCAAGCTGGGAACACGTAAGACCGGTGAGAAGGGGATTGCAATAGTCAAGGCGAGAGAGAACAACAGCATGAACCAGTACCTTAGCCGCGTCCGACGTTAGATATGGGCGGATGCGCGCTATGTTCTTGAGTTGGAAGCGACAGGATTTGGCTATCGATTGAACATGGGGAGTAAAAGAGAGATCAGAATCAAAAAGAACTCCTAGGCAGCGAGCCTGGGAGGTAGAGGTGATAGTAGCGCCGTTGACTTGGATGGCAACAGACACAGGAGTAGCAGCACTTGAGGGAGGAAAAACTAGAAGTTCTGTTTTGGACAGGTTGAGTTTAAGGAAGTGAGCAGCCATCCAGTTGGAAATAGCAGAGAGGCAGTCAGAAACACGAGTCAAGGTGGGCAGAGAGAGATCAGGGGAGGACAGGTAGATTTGCGTGTCATCTGCATATAAATGGTATTGGACGCCAAAAGAGCTGATGAGTTTACCAAGGGAGGCAGTATAGATAGAGAACAGTAGGGGGCCGAGGACAGAACCTTGGGGGACGCCGACAGGGAGGGGTTGGGGAGAAGAGGCAGAGCCAGAGAAAGAAACACTGAAGGAGCGCTGGGAGAGGTAGGAGGAGCACCAGGAGAGAGCAGAATCCCGTAGACCAAAGTTACGGAGAATGTGAAGAAGCTGTTGATGATCAACAGTGTCAAAGGCGGCAGAGAGATCAAGGAGGATTAGGATAGAGTATTGGCCGCGAGATTTAGCAGCAATTAAATCGTTGGATACTTTGGTCACAGCAGTTTCGACAGAGTGACCAGCGCGGAATCCAGACTGAAGGGGGTCAAGCAGAGAGTTGGATTCAAGAAAGTCTGTCAATCTGGCGTAGACAACTCTCTCGAGGATCTTGGAGGCAAATGGCAGTAGCGAGATAGGGCGGTAGTTGGATGGGGAGTTGGGATCGAGGTTGGGCTTTTTCAGAATTGGGGTTACGGTTGCATATTTGAAGGCAGAGGGAAATGTGCCAGAGGAAAGGGAGAGATTGAAAATGTTAGCGAGAGGAAGAGCAAGAGAGGGAGACAAAGTGCGGATGAGATGCGAGGGAAAAGGATCGAGGGAGCACGTGGTGGGGCGGGAGGACAGGAGCAGAGCAGAAAACTCTTGTGCTGTAGCAGGTGCAAATGAGCTTAGGATGACAGGGGGAGTGGGGTTGGGTGATGTATTGATACTGGTCGGAGAAAGATTAGAGATCTCTTTTCTGATTGTAGAGATCTTCTCAGTGAAATGAGATGCAAAGTTTGTGGCGGACAAGGTGGTAGAAGGAGGGGGAGTCACAGGGCGAAGAAGTGCATCAAAAGTGTGAAACAGGTGTTTGGGTTGGTGGGACAGTGTGCTTATAAGGGTGTTGAAGTAGCTTACTTTTGCAGAGGAAAGAGCCATGCTGTAGGAGCGCAGCATAAATTTATAGTGGACAAAGTCAGATGCAAAGTGAGACTTTCTCCAGCAGCGTTCAGCAGTTCTGGAACATTTTTGGAGGTAACGGGTCAGCTTGGTGTGCCAGGGTTGTAGTTGGGGGCGCTTGCTGCGTTTAACTGTAGGAGGTGCCATGATGTCAAGTTGAGAGGAGAGAGTGGAGTTGTAGAGTGAGGTTGCAGAGTTAGGGCAGTTGTGATTTGAGATGGGTAAAAGGAGTGTTTGGAGTTTAGTGGAGAAGTGCTGGAGATCGAGAGAGTTGAGGTTTCTGCGAGGTTGGAGAGTGGACGGTGGTGAGATTTTGGTATGGGGTATGCAGATGATAAATGTTAGCAGATGGTGGTCAGACAAAGGAAATGGAGAAGTGGCGAGATCAGAGGTAGTACAGAGATTGGTGAAGATGAGGTCAAGAGTGTTTCCTGCAGTGTGAGTTGCTGAGGAAGAAATCTGTGTGAGTCCAAAGGAGGAGGTTACAGAGAGCAGACGAGAGGCATCAGGGCAATTGAGCTTGTTGATAGGGATATTGAAGTCCCCAAGTATGAGAGAGGGAGTGCTAGAGGAAAGAAAGTGGGGTAACCAGGAGGAAAAGTGTTCAATGAATAGTTTAGGGTGACCGGGGGGGCGATAGATGATGGCAATTCTTAAAGGAGTGGGCTTAAAAAGGCGTACAGTGTGAACTTCAAAGGAAGTAAAGGATAGGGCAGGGGCAGGGAGGATAGGTTGAAAGGTACATTGAGGGGAGAGAAGGATGCCTACACCACCTCCTTTACAGTCAAGTCTAGGAGTATGGGAGAACTGTAGACCACCGAAACATAAAGAAGCAGGAGTAGCGGTATCGGATGGAGATAGCCAGGTCTCAGTGAGTGCCAGTATTGTGAGAGAGTTAGAGATGAGGAGGTCATGTATTGCTGTAGATTTGATATTACTACAAATGGAGCGAGCATTCCAGAGTGCACACTGAATTTTGGTAGAGGAGGATAGACTGCAGGGTATTTGGAGGAGGTTTGCATGGTTTCTGGTTATTTTAGTGTGAGCAGATGAGGTGAGGGGCCCTGGGTTGGGAGAGACGTCACCAGCTGCCAGACGTAGGAGGAGAGATAGAGACAGGAGGTGTGAGTGGGTTTTATATGGGCGGCGACTAGGGTGAGATTGGGTTAGAGCAGAAGAGAGAGAATAGAGAAATGAGTGCAGGGCTTGAGATGAGAGAAGGGGGGAGTGTAGCAGAGAGGGATTAATGTAAATGTTAGTGTTTTGTTGAGGGAAGTGGGTGGAAGGGGATATTTTGATGTTTAGGGAGATGAGAGAGAAGGAGAGGAGGAGAATATAGAGCATTGCTCTGATAGGTAGGTAATTAGAGGGAAGGAGAATGAGCATAAGGGAGGAGAGGGAGTGAGTGTTAGGGGTTAAGAAGGTGGATTGTGCTCATTATGGGTAGTGTTTGCAGCTGCTATTTGGAATTAACTAAAGTTGTGTGTGGGATTCTATCTATAAATGTAGTAAGGAACTTGGGGTGGGGTGGTGAGGGGAGGGGTGGGCGGGAATCTGAGCACTGTTCAGGTTTGCTAGAAGTGGTCTTTTAAAACTCAGACTGTGGAAGACAGAGATGATAGGGTCAAAACAGGACTGCAATAAAAGCTATGGAATGGAGATGCACAGAGGAGGTGAGGATTGGTCAATCAAGACATTCGGGTGGGTATCAATAAAATAAGGGGGGGGGGAGAAGAAATAACAGAGAAAATCTTTAGAGATAAGCAGGATGTTGAATAACATTTAAGTTAACAAAACCAATGTTGAGAAGGGCAGGGAGCAACTAGCTTTAGCATGCACATTGATCTCTGCCTAGTGGTACCCTGCTCATCCCAGCCTCAACTCCTCTATCCATCTCCCCTCCCTGTCTCGCTATACCTGTGATAGCTACCGCTAACATGTCTGCTTTCTTCTTCATTTTACATCCCTCCTCACGCTTTGTCTCAGTTTCCCCATTCATATATACTTTATTTGCAACCTCCATTAACTGTGATATAGACATCCCTGCAAATCCCTCTAACTTTTGTAATTTTTTCTTGATATCGTTCTGGGCCTGGCTGACAAATGCTGAGTTAATCATTTGGGCAATATGTGGTGGACCAGGGGTAAGCCGGAGAGGCATTTGTAAATGTCGGGATTAAAGGGTACCAGTCATTTGTCGAGTTAGTATGGGACTTTGATAGGGTTGTTTAGTAACAGGTTTCCGATCTGGGAGTAGTAAGGTAGGTTAATTTTACTGGTCAGCATTAGGTGATTGAAAAATAAAAATGTGTTAAACCAAAAACCTGCCAGTAGGTGTCACCAGAGGATAAATAATTGTATCAAAATAGTCTTTATGGGTCTAACAATAAAACTTAGCTTATTTATACCTAAAATAAAACCTTATGACAAGAAATATTAAAATAGGGTAAGCACTACTTCTGTCTGTTGTATGCCAGTATAGAGTTCAGGATGATTAAACGGTCATTAATATTTTAAACAATGCAAATCAATGTAACTCTCGAAGATAGCCAGTAGGTGTCCCTAGAGTACTTCCTAAAGTCTAATGAAGCAGATAGACTTTAATTATGTAAGACAGGTATGTAGGTGGGGACAATAGAGCAGGGGGAGTGCAAATACCAGCTACACCAGTTTTAGCTTGGGAGGAAGAGTAGGGGGTTGGTAATCAAATGCAAGGGGGGTGTCCAAACTAGGTGGAATTAAGGCCTTAGTGGACAAACAGGTTCTGGCTACCATGGACTCCATTGTTCCTCTTAGCACAGCTTGTTCCATTTAGCAGTGTTTCAACAATCTGTATACAGAAACTGCTCATATAGCCCCAGCATATTATTTATAACAATGTAAACCTGCTGTATTAAATCTGGATCAAGGATCCACAGGAACACTGGTTACCAGAATAGGCCGTCCTCTGCTACACAGAGTATTTTAATCTTTTGGGGGACAGTGTTACACCATAATCACAAACAGCATATCATAGTTACATAGTTACATAGCTGAAAAGAGACTTGCGTCCATCAAGTTCAGCCTACCTCACATTTGTTTTTTGCTGTTGATCCAAAAGAAGGCAAAAACACTCAGTTTGAAGCACAATTTTGCAACAAGCTAGGAAAAAAATTCCTTCTTGACCCCCAGAATGGCAGTCAGATTTATCCTTGGATCAAGCAGTTATTACCCTACATTGAAAGATTATATCCTTGAATATTCTGTTCTTGCAAGTATACATCTAGTAGCCGTTTGAACATCTGTATGGACTCTGATAAAACCACTTCCTCAGGCAGAGAATTCCACATCCTGATTGTTCTTACAGTAAAAAACCCTTTCCTTTGCCTTAGACGAAATCTTCTTTCTTCCAGTCTAAACGCATGGCCTCGTGTCCTATGTAAAGTCCGGTTTGTGAATAGATTTCCACACAATGGTTTGTATTGGCCCCGAATATATTTGTATAATGTTATCATATCCCCTCTCAGGCGGCGTTTTTCTAAACTAAATAGGTTTAAATTTGTTAACCTTTCTTCATAGCTGATATGTTCCATTCCTTTTATTAATTTTGTAGCCCGTCTCTGCACTTTTTCTAGTGCCATAATATCCTTCTTTAGAACAGGTGCCCAAAATTGCACAGCATATTCAATATGGGGTCTTACCAGTGATTTATAAAGAGGCAAAATTATATTCTTGTCCCGAGAATGAATGCCCTTTTCATGCATGACAATACCTTACTGGCCTTGGCCACTGCTGATTGACATTGCACATTGTTGCATAGTTTGTTGTCTATAACAATTCCCAAGTCCTTTTCGTGTGTTGTTATCCCTAATTCGCTTCCATTAAGGGTATACGTTGCTTGTGTATTCTTTACGCCGAAGTGCATAACTTTGCATTTTTCAGCATTAAATTTCATCTGCCATTTGAGTGCCCAGTCCCCCAGTCTATCTAAATCCCTCTGCAGCAAAGTAATATCTTGCTCACATTGTATTGTTTAACAAAGTTTTGTGTCATCTGCAAACACTGAAACATGACTTTCAATGCGGTCTTCAAGATCATTTATAAACATGTTAAATAGAAGGGGTCCCAGCACAGACCCCTGAGGGACACCACTTGCCACCTCTGTCCATTTATGACAACTCTTTGTACTCTGTTTTTAAGCCAATATCCCTTAGAAAAGTTTTTTTTTTTTTTTTTTAAAGCATACAAGACAAAGGACCAACAGTTTGTAAATCAGAAGCACCCATGATTTCAACAGAGCGTCTGATTCAAAGCAGTACAAATATACAAACAGTTTCAACAGTCACACCAGTTACCTTAGCAACAGCACCACGTTGCACGGTTACTAGGCCCAAACATACACGTACACACACGCACAGGATCCTCACACTCTCAACAATATCATGACGTTGCACACACGAAATTAAATCAAAAACCCACCAAAGACTATACACTTATCAGTAATTTTAGTGTCGTTAATGTAATATCAGTGGTTATGGTATTTTGAAGTAGTTATGATATTATGAAGTGGTTATGGTATTATGCAGTAGTTATGGTATTTTGACGTAGTTATGGTATTGAGAAGTGGTTATGGTATTTTGAAGTAGTTATGTTATTTTGAAGTGGTTATGGTATTATGCAGTAGTTATGGTATTATGAAGTAGTTATGGTATTTTGAAGTGGTTATGGTATTATGAAGTGGTTATAGTGTCGAGCACAATTTTACACTATACACACCTTTTACAAGTCCGCTTAACGGCAGAACTCAAGCTTTCTAGCAGGACATACATTTCACCAATTACAACGTATTTTACAACTTTTACAGCAAAGCCAACTATTCTAACCGGCCAGCTCCTTGAAAGCTACCGAACGGAATATACACCAAAATTTGGTTAGTTTACGCTACCCAGGCACCACGATCTAGTGGACGGAATGTACACCAAAATCCACTTAGTCTGAGATCTAGCAAACGGAATTTACACCAAAATTTTGCTTAGTCTCCAGTTCCTCTATCAATAAGCCAGTGACCACATTTACACCAAAAATCATTTAGTCAAGATAGGTTGAGAGCTAACGAACGGAATATACACCAAAATTCGCTTAGTCTCCCCGGTATGCCCGATCTAAGGACCGAATTTACAACAAGATTCCACTTAGTCTGTCAGGATACCGGTGTCCGGCTGAACATATATACACCAAAGTCCAGTCTGACTACAATCCTCCTATATTAAATGGGCTAGCTACAGAGCGTTTAATTTCAAATAAGCCGTGCGCCTTCTCTTCTTCCCTCCATAGGGAGGGGTCAATCAACCAATCAGATACGGATCCTGCCCCTAGTGGGTTCACAATTTACCTTTTAGTTCCTGGACCTAGGTTCACACTCATCGACGGGACACCCCGGTACTCACTGCGCGGAAGCCGAGGATCTCCTGGACAACAGGCCAGTGGTGCCAAGACGAAAGGAGGTCTACACAGTAGAAGTCCAGGGGTGCAGCCATGGAAGATTTGGTAAAAGTTTACCGTCTCAAATCTCTATGCAGGCTTCCGTGCGATGAGATTCCCGGCCCAATAGCACCAGAAATGTTGCAGGAATAGCAGGAATAAGCCGCAGAAGCCACACACAGAGAAATGGAAGCAGGTTCGTTCAGGAAGAAAAAAGTCTTTATTGTTACCGATTGGGTCTCAGATTAACTCCTGTTCTAAAAAGGTGTGAGCCCAGAGCATAGTTTGCACAGGCTATTTATTAACAATAACTCCTCCCACTCATAGCTTCACCCACACATAACCTTAGACCAATCAGTGAACAGGATATTCAGGATCACCTTATATGGGCAGACCGTATGACTCCTTTTAAGGACAAAGGAATGTGACTACAGTTGATGCACATGCTCAGTACATTGATGACAGTATCTTAGCTACATGTAACTAACAGATACAACAAACACCTGTACTTGTATATGCCACATGGAGATTCCAGGCCTACTAAATTTTGAACCATGTTGAAATCCCATCACACCATCATGGGGGTAATTCTCATTCCTGGGCTACCATACGCTCTCAAAGGCAACATAACCAATGTGGCGAATTTCAAAGTAAAAAAAAAAGTTACAAATGTAACATGCTATATTTGACCCTATAACTTCCCAAAACGCCATAAAACCTGTACATTGCAGGTACTGTTTTACACGTGAGACATCGCTGAGTACAAATATGTGTATTTTATTGCAGTAAAAGCAAACAGTATTATGACATTCACAGTTAAAATGTCATGTAGAACTAAAAAAATAACAATTTCTTATTGTATCCCATTTTTTATATTTTATTCATATTAAATTATGTTTCATAGCTAAATGAAAGCCCCTGCTTCCCCTGAATTCAATGATATATAATAAGGGTGGGTGCATTTAATATGAAAGAGGTGAATTACGGTTGGACAGACATATAGCGCAAATTCCAGGTTTTGTTTTGATCACAACGTGTACATTTGGCTCAGTCCTTAAGGGGTTAATCTAAAGTTGTTTTGGTGACTATAGTGTCCCTTCAAATGGTTATTATTATTATGTTATTATTTATATAGCATCAACAAATTCCACAGCGCTTTACAATGGGTGGACGAACAGACATGTAGTTGTAACCAGATAAGTTTGACACACAGGAACAGAGGGGTTGAGGGCCCTGCTCAATGAACTTACATGCTAGAGGGAGTGGGGTAAAATGACACAAAAAGGTAAGGAATCAGTCAGGAGCTATTAACAGTTTAATGGTTAAATTGTATACAAGAAAAATACACGTTTTATTATTGTTTTTAGTCTGTATTGTAAAGCAAACGGCCCCTGCAATGCTGATGTTACACTATGGTTATATACACTATATGCTTTCATCATTCACTTGGTGTGAGGTCCCTCGCTCGCTGTGCATCCGCCACACGCAAGATGGCGGCAAGAAGCCAACTCCGAGCGCGCGGCCATGACGCAAGGGGAGAGGCGCCGGGCACGTGACATGCGCCGGGGTTAGATCCGCTCAGCGGCTGCTTTTCATTGTTTCTCCCGGGAGGTCAGGGGTCACCGGGGCGGTGTGGTGCATCACTCCGGTGCATGTGCGGAAACAACATGTCGGTGCCGCTACTTACCGATGCTGTGACTGTGCCCGGAACTGAGCGGGAGACAGCGGTGGTGAGTGGCACGCAATGCCCATTGGTATCCGGGAGAGCCAGTCCGTGGGATGGGGACACGGGGCGAGCACATTGTGCCATGTGGGAGGCAGCCACGCGTAATGTCACGCTCACTCCCTTAGTACATGGCGAGAGGTCACACCGCGCTTTGGTCTAATCGAGGAGCCACCACCTCTGGGAGCATGACAGGGCTATTGTTCTGGGGCCTGATTGTTCAATTAAAAACCTTCCATTTATACTGCTCTATTTTTACTCCTCCAGGTCATATTCCTCCATGGACTTGGAGACACAGGGTAAGTTAAAAATAACCATCTGTACTTGGAGAGCCCACTTTAGTATTTTAGGGTCTTGTTAGAATAACCTGACTAGAGGACATACCTTTACCGGGGTATTTTGGTGTACAGCAGGTATATGAAGTAATCGAGGATCGATATTTACATACATCATATACATTTTAAAAGAAAATGGGAAGGGAAGGAGGCGAGGAGGAGAAAAAAAAAGGAGTGTAAAGAAAAAAGGAGGAAATTGTTATACGAAATTTAATGTGGATAAGCGCAAGATAATGCATCTTGGATGTAAAAACCCAAGGGCAGAGTACAGAATATTTGATAGAGTCCTAACCTCAACATCTGAGGAAAGGGATTTAGGGGTGATTATTTCTGATGACTTAAAGGACCACTATAGTGTGTTTTCCTGGCACTACAGTGCCCTGAGGGTGCCCCCACCCTCAGGGTCCCCCTCCCGCCCGACTCTGGAAAGGGGAAAAGGGTTAAAACTTACCTTTTTCCAGCGCTGGGCGGGGAGCTCTCCTCATCCGTTCCTCACCGTCGGCTGAATGCGCACGCGCGGCAAGAGCTGCGTGCGCATTCAGCCGGTCGCATAGGAAAGCATTTACAATGCTTTCCTATGGACGCTGGCGTGCTCTCACTGTGAAAATCACAGTGAGAAGCAAGCAAGCGCCTCTAGTGGCTGTCAATGAGACAGCCACTAGAGGAAATAGGGGAAGGCTTAACCCATTCATAAACATAGCAGTTTCTCTGAAACTGCTATGTTTATGAAAAAATGGGTTAACCCTAGCTGGACCTGGCACCCAGACCACTTCATTAAGCTGAAGTGGTCTGGGTGCCTAGAGTGGTCCTTTAAAGGTAGGCAGACAATGTAATAGAGCAGCAGGAAATGCTAGCAGAATGTTTGGTTGTATAGGGAGATGTGTTAGCAGTAGAAAGAGGGAAGTGCTCATGCCATTGCACAGAACACTGGTGAAACCTCACTTGGAGTACTGTACGCAGTACTGGAGACCATATCTCCAGAAGGATATTGATACTTTAGAGAGAGTTCAGAGAAGGGCTATTAAACTGATTCATGTATTGTAGGATAAAACTTACAAGGAAAGGTTAAAGGATCTGAACATGTATAGCTTGGAGGAAAAGACGAGACAGGGGGGATAGGATAGAAACAATTAAATACAAAAAGGGAATCATCACAGTAACGGAGACTATATTTTAAAAGAAAAACTACCACAACAAGAGGACATAGTCTTAAATTAGAGGGGCAAAGGTTTAAAAATTATATTTGGAAGTATTACTTTACTGAGAGGTTAGTGGATGCATGGAATAGCCTTCCAGCTGAAGTGGTAGAGGTTAACACAGTAACGGAGTTTAAGCATGCGTGGGATAGGCATAAGGCTATCCTAGCTATAAGATAAGACCAGGGACTAATGAAAGTATTTAGAAAATTGGGCAGACTATATAGGGGCAAATGGTTCTTAACTGCTGTCACATTCTATGTTTCTCTGAAACTGCTATGTTTACAGCTGCAGGGTTAACCCTAGATGGACCTGGCACCCAGACCACTTCATTGAGCTGAAGTGGTCTGGGTGCCTATAGTGGTCCTTTAAAGGACCACTATAGGCACCCAGACCACTTCTGCTTAATGAAGTGGTCTGCGTGCCAGGTCCAGCTAGGTTTAACCCTTTCTTCTATAAACATAGCAGTTTCAGAGAAACTGCTATGTTTATAATAGGGTTAATCCAGCCTCTAGTGGCTGTCTCATTGACAGCTGCTAGAGGCGCTTCCGCAATTTTCACAGTGAGAAGACGCCAGCGTCCATAGGAAAGCAATGTGAATGCTTTCCTATGGACTGGCTGAATGCGTGCGCGGCTCCTGCCGCGCATGTGCATTCAGCCGAGGAGGAGGAGAGCCCCCCGCCCGGTGCTGGAGAAAGAGGTAAGTTTAACCCCTTCCTCCCCCTAGAGCCTGGCAGGAGGGGGACCCTGAGGGCACTATAGTGCCAGGAAAACGAGTATGTTTTCCTGGCACAATAGTGGTCCTCTAATGTATGCATATCCAATTTCCTTGAATAGTTCTCAATTTATTTAATATATCTTTTTTCCATCATTGCTGATGAGCATTCGGACTTAAAGGTTTGGTATATAAACTGATAGTTACAACCCCTTAGAACCATTATATAAACATAGCTTTCCTTTATGGCAACATGATTACATGCTTTATGTAAGAGAACTTGATGTATGGCTTTTCTTTAGTAGATCATATAGCATCCATCTTATCTGTATAATCAGCAGCCTGCAGATAAATATAAATGTTGACTTATACTATTGCATTCTAACAGGTAAAACTTGGCTATGGTTTGTGCAGCATTTTTATTTAATTAGCACAGCCTGGCATATGATTTTCAATTTACGGAGTCCCATGATACTGAGCCTGCAGCATAACTCACTCCCTCAATGTAGAAAACACACAGCATTAGAACTGAATCTCAGGGGAAGATTGCACAGATTATGTGCTGAACCTTGTAGTTTGTGTTCTGTGCTTATGTTGTGTACTTTTACGCCCATTGTTGTTCAGTGACCTCTTGTGGTCGGTGCCCCCACTCCTACTGATGCCCATGGATTGTGTGGTAAATGCCCCCAATCCTGACAGTGACTACAAGTGTGTTGTGCCTTTGCTCTTAGTGATGCCCAGTAACTTGATTTAGTACATACCTATGGTGGTGTCTCGTCACTCTCCACTTTTTTTTGGATGTCAGCAGTACAAGTGTAGTGTGTACATTCTTCCCAGTGCTTGACTTACATGCAGTATATAAACCTTATTTTTAATTAAGAACCTCCTGGAAACTGTGCATTCAGGCATGAGATTGTGCTTCCTTTACATTTTGTGTTCTGTGGCTAATACTGTTTGCTTGCTCCTCAGACATGGTTGGGCCGAGGCCCTAACTGGTATAAGACTGCCTTATGTGAAGTATATTTGTCCTCATGCGTAAGTATGTTTTATATTGAATCTGTAGATCTTTAAGTTGTATACAGTGTGAATGTATGGGAACTTCTCGCCTACGTTAAGACATTGTCGTCTTTAATTTTTTAGGCCTCGCATTCCGGTCACGCTGAACATGAAGATGACGATGCCAGCATGGTAAGTCCATGATGTTATTTAGTTAATTTACCTGTGAGTCAATAATGAATTGTCTATTCACAAGGCAATAAATCACTTTATTCTGTGCAGGTTTGACTTGATGGGCTTAGGTCCTGATGCACCAGAAGATGAAGCTGGGATCAAGAAAGCGGCAGATAGCAGTAAGAAGTTCTAAACTGCATGTTGCAAGGTTCATTTTACAAAATATCAGCAATGTTTCCAGATTTTTGTTTTGTTTGACCACTTAAAATACTGTTAATAATTGACTTCGAGGTAATCAAGTGTGTTCCTAGTATTAAATATGTGCCTCTTGTATGAACTTGGTTATGCAAATTCCGTCCCATGTATGATCCCATCTCAAAATTTGTTTAGGTTGTTTTAAGTGCATGGGAGAGATATTTATATTTTATACCTGACCCAGCATGCTTTGCAATCATCCTATTTAATACATTGTATGTAAGATTGTTTGCATGCTGAGCAGTCAAATCATACCTGGACATGTCCTGGGAAATAAAGCACACCAACCATTTTATATCATCTTTATATCATCTTCTATAAATGTTTGCTGTCAGGGTAGCAAAATGGCTGGGTGAAAATGGTAAGGGGAATTAAATGGTGTTGTTGTATTTTGAATGTAATGATTTGTTGTTTCGGTTTGCTTGATGATCATTTAATTTGCTTCCTTTACTGGTCAGATCTAAAAAGATACATGCCACACTGTAGTGCACAAAATCTAGAAAATTAGGCAAAAATGGTCACAATTTTTCCATGTCTGCAAATTCTTTTAAAATTTTTTCTTTTTTTTTTCATTTATCTTTTTATTGGTACAAGCAAAGTTCAGACATTGTGCAGCGCAGTGCACTTATGACATGCATACCCGACACAGTCGCAGCTGTGGATACCGTTTCCCCACAAGTTTAATCCAGCATATTCCTTGTGCAAGTTTGAAGCCTAGAGTTGCTTCCCAAGGTGTTGCGCTCACTTTGGACTTCTCTGATTGAGGGCACTGTGTTGTGTGGCTCGTGTCCTATTTGTGTTGACTCGGTGTGGGTAGGAACGCTGCCTATAATGCACGTCTGACAAGCTATCCGTGTTTCATTTAGTTTTATAACTTTGAACTAGGGGTTGGGGGGGGATACAGAAAGAAAGGTTGGGGGCGGGGTGGGGGGTGCCCTAGACAACACTCTATACATATGTTGGTTGAACCCTGTATAAACATTGGTGATCTTGTCACCGCTCCTGTCTAATCCTTTGCCCTATGGCAGTGTAGGCGTCATAGTGCTATGGCTCCTGTTCTACTTCCTAGCACACCGTTGGCCATGCAAATTTTATTTTTAAAGGGACTCTGTAGGCACCCAGACAACTTCAGCTCATTGAAGTGGTCTTGGTGCACACTTCCATCACCCTTAACCCTAGAGTGGTAATTATTGCAGTTTTTATCAACTGCAATAATTACCTGCCTTGGTTAACTCCTCTTCTGTGTTCTTTTGGTTGTCTAAACGACTCTGGACGTCCTCACGCTATGCATGAGGACCTCCAGTGTCACTGGAATCCCTATAGGAAAGCATTCAATAATGCTTTCCTATGTGGAAATCCTAATGAGATGGCGGCCACTGCCGGTGGGGGGAGTAGCGTAGGCGGAGTTTTGCCAGTGCCGAGGGACGTTGGCTCTGGACCCAGGTAAGTGACTGAACTGGTTATTAACCTGTTCGGTGCTGAGGGATTTGGCCTTGACAGAGAGGGAAGCTACATTGCCAGGAAGACGGATTTGTTTTCCTGGCACTATAGTTTCCCTTTAATTTACTATTTTGCGAAGACATTTAGCCATTTACACATTTATTCTGTTCTTTTACAGTGAAACAATTCAAACCTATACAATGGTTTTTACATAGGTTTCACAAATTAAATCTTAATGGAAAAACTGAGGGAAAACAAAAGTTGAACTACAGCTGAACCAGACTGTTTTTCTAAATATTTTATTACATTTCCACATCTCCTGGATACACTAAATGATACGTCTGGGATTGTTGACCCAGTTGTACAGAGCATATGTGAAAAACTAGACAATCCTATAGGTGTGACTAATCTGATATGGTTATTAATGTGATCTTCTTAGTAATGAAATATGTGTACCAAAACTGGTTTAAAATGAAACATTTTTTTTTCCGGAGAAGTAACAGTTCTTTGTTCATTCACCCCACTAAGTTGTCTGCATTTACTGGGGTGAAGAACACAGTGGAGTTAAGTAAGAAAAAACAACTTGCCTTACTGTGTTTCCGCTTTGCCATCCCATGATGCCTTGGACACCCTGTATTGTTTTCAGCAGTGGAGTGCGCAAGTATGCTCAGTATGTACAAAACTGCAAGACCTAACTCATTTACATGCCCCTTCACCAGATTAAAGGAATGCTCCATACCTCTTAAGTACTTCAGCTTGTTGACATGCTTTAGGGTTTTAGTGTCCCCTTTTACTTTATAAAACCAGATTTGAGGCTTCTTATGGAGAAGCATTGTTGACACAGTACAGTGATTACTGTGCATATGCTCTGCTCCCACTGCTGATCTATGAGGTTGGTTTGGAGATCTGAGGTGGAGGGGAACTGCAGCAGGGGGTTAGATGAAAGTAAGCATTGTTCTTCTCAAACCAGCCTATTCTAAATTCTGTTAGTCCAGTCAAAAAGGTTCATGAGTTTGCCGCATGGTTAACAGCGTTTGTGAGGGGTTGTGATTTGCTGTGCGCTCTTAAACTTTAATTTTCTCTTGTAGTTAAGAGTATAATTGAGCATGAAGTGAAGAATGGAATACCAGCCAACAGGATAATTCTTGGAGGATTCTCACAGGTATGTTTTTGTTTTTTACCATTTTGCATGTGTATTTTGAGAGGCTGTCAAGCATCTATATTTTCTGTTTCAAAAAAATATTATGACTTTTTTTTTAATCTCAAATAAACCATGTGTCATGCTTGATTTATTTATTTATTTTTCAAGTTTAAAATTTCTAACACTGTCTAAATATTGTGAAAGAGGCCTATATTATTTGGCTACTAAGTTGGCCTTCCCATAGTAATGTGTTTAACCTCCCTGCCATTTTTTTAAAAAATTTTTATTATGGGGTCTTTTGTTCATGTATCTCAAATCATTCTTGCTAAATCATGTTGCTACTGTCTTTGAACCATCATCCAGGCATATCTGCGCAGAGGTGAATTAGTGGTTTTGATAAGTTATTTAACTCATTTTGAAAATATTTGTAATAAAATTCATTACTATTTTACTTAATATTTCAGTTCTATATGTTTAAGGACTACAACTTACAATGTTATTTAAAAAAAAAAAAAAGATACAGGCCTTGAGAATTGGAATCTGTCTGTGAGTGCGGTCTCCTGAAAAGTGCAGTTTCCAGTACACCATTTGTTGTATTTGAGTTATGAGCCCTGCTCTGTATCTTTATTTTCATTTATTTTATTTTTTTTATTCAGGGAGGTGCCCTTTCGTTGTATACAGCTCTTACCTGTCAACACAAAGTCGCAGGTGTAGTTGGACTCAGCTGCTGGCTACCCCTTAACAAGACATTCCCTCAGGTATGGTTAGAAAAACCAGAGTTGTAAAGATCATCTCTGGCTGCTGCTAACTGGAAATTGGCATTAAATTGTACACAGAATAGGTACTATATATCTGCATGTAATGCTTTATTATAATGCGTAGGTGGTACCCGGCATTGTTCCTACAGTGCATATTGGACAAAACTGTTTGTTTTTAAATGCTGCTGACATATTCATGTATAGCTGCACAGTGGTCCTGCGCAGTTTACATGATAGCATGTGGAGACATTCTATCTGTCTGCTACATCACACAAATAGTTCTGTGCACTAGGATACGGATGAGATGCATGATTCTGACAGTATGTTGGTCAAAATTGAGTGTACAATAGTCGTACAATCCTTCCTTCTTTATATGGGTGTGGTGGATTAAAGGATTAAACACATCACTAGTGGCTGTCATACAGACAGCCACAAAAGACACATCTGCACCCACAGAGTAAAACTGTCACGTGATGCACCAGTTCATGGGAAAGCATTGTATTTAATGCTTTGTTAGGTCAGGCATTGGATGTACACATGCTCTATAAGGGGCACTATTACGTTGGGCATACAGGTTTGTATTCCTAATGTCATGGTGTTTATTTAAACCTCTATTGGAGTTGTTCTTTCATATAGGACCTACAACTAAATAATTATGTATTATGCAGCTTTTGTACCTGGTGGGAAAACTAGTATCAGGAAAACATCAATATATCTGGATACCTGAAGCTCCCCTCTGTCAACTGGGATCAAAATTAGTGGACTCACACTGACCACTAAGCTGTATTCAGCTCTTAACTTTTCTTTTTTCTGCCATGTAGCAGAATATCGGGTTACCACTAGAGATCTTAAGACAGCTACCGATTCTCCCTACATAACCCCCTGCAGTCTGATCACACACTGCTAAAAGTGATTGGTGTTGGTCTGTGCATAATGTTGTTGTGATCAGGAAGGGAGATCACACAAGATCATATTTTGACAGCCTGTCAATATATGATAAATATTCCTACTCAGACCATTTTGTACTGTGTGCATAAGAGAAATCCCGCTGCTGATTCCAGTAGTGTCAGGAACTGTAAAAATGGCCCCACAATAAGGCTCTAAACATACCATGCAGAGAACACCAGGGTCTCTACTTTTGCCAAATTGGCAAGGTCTAGAAAATGTACAGCACAGATTCATTATTTTCTTTAAACCTTGTTCATACAGTAAACCGTATAATACAAGTGTCTTTAAAAAAAAAAAAAAAAGTGATACTTTTTGCAGTAGTGCAGTAGTGGTCATCTTGCCAGGAACCACTACCGTCATTTTTTAATGATTTGACATTTACATTGTCCGGAAGTCTTTTCTGAAACAACTACAGGGGAAGATCTCCTTCTTCGTAAGATGTTTTAAATTTTTATGGAAGTGATAGCGGTACACTCAGCCTAACAACTATAAGCCAATTAATTTTGTCAAAAGACAGGGGAATTGAATTCCTGCACATTTTATTATCTAGTTTTCTAGCTGTCTGCCCTCATTCAAAACAGAAATTAAATCCACTATGCCAGCATCAAAAGGGCTTTTTTATTCAAATTTGCTTTTCTAAATCACCATTTATTAACAGTGGAAGAAATTAGTGGTGAACAAATTACAACTCTCCCCCGGGCGAGGCCGGGGACCGCCAGGCGCAACAGGGCCACGATATATTTGAGCCCGAGAAGGCACCACGACTTCCCTAAGGGACGTGGGCCCAACGAGACATCGCTCAATTGACTCAGAGGGGTCCCATGACGTGGGAACTCCCACAATAAACAGCAAACACAAGCCAACTCTGGATGACTGATACAACTGAGCACTGAGACATCACACCATCCCCATCCGAAGGGGGAAACACTTCAGACACACCATAGATACCACACGTGGACAGCGACTGAAGCATGATAACGATGACCGACCACAAGTAAGCAATGCGACAGAGACGGCTGGCCTGGGTGCTCCCCCCCCCCCTCGCGGCGGGGGAGGGGACGCAGACCCGGGGAGAGGGGGTAGCTGACCCAGGAGAGAACCCACAACATATCTAGGCACCACCAAAGTTAAGGAAAAGACAACAGGAAAGGGAGCCCCAGGCCAGGTGCACGACTATAGGACCTGATCCCGCAAACCGACCCCTTTCTCACTCCCCATGTACGAGGACGTGACCTGGGACCTACCGCACCACTCACCATCGGATTGAGGTTCAGCTATAGAATTATACGGCCCTCACTGATGTGGGCCAGCGGTCATCCGCTTCCGATAACGTTTTATAAAGGTTCATCTAGAGTTGGCGGTACCTGTGTCAGACGCAATTGGAGACCTGCGAGTCTCACTGACGATATAAGCTCTGCTATCTGTTATTGTTTGAACTGCTAATAAAAGCTTTATTTACAAAAAAAAAAAAACAAATTACAACTCTCTTTTAAATTTTCAAAACTGTGGAGATACCAGTCTTTAAATATTCTGTGAAAGATATTTGATCCAATGAATAACAAGGCTTTCATCTCTAAGGGATTAATTCATTAAATTTTATTAAAAAAAATAAAATATATATATAACAGAAAAACAACCTATTTTATATAAATTCAATAAAATTTTAATATTTAGTGTATAAACTCCCTAGTATAGTAAAAATTCCTTACAAGAGTTGCAAGAACAAGAAATAGTTAATGTAAAAATATGTATAATGATTTCTGGCTGGCTGTGGTGCCTGTCTTCCCCCCTCCTTCCCATTGCTTCCATCTAGCATGCTAGAATCTGGACAGGCTGGTTGTAAACAGGGTTGTTTTCGGGAAATATATGTGAACACAAGCATTGCAGGTCATGTGAGAAGGCATACGTTTCCTGCTAATGTGACCTACGGTTTCCTTCTTACTGCAGGCTGCAAGTGGTGTAAATAAAGATGTTTCCGTACTGCAATGTCATGGTGAGGTAGACCCAATGCTCCCTGTAAGGTTTGGAAACCTCACCTCAGAGAAGCTGAAGTCTATGTTGAACCCTACAAAAGTCCAGTTCAAGACCTATCCGGGAGTCGCTCATAGCACCAGTCAAGAGGTAAGTGCTCTTTACACATGTACAATCTGCTAGAAACACACAGCATAGCCTCTCTTCCTATTCTGTCTAGATCTGTGCTGCTTCATTTTTGTGAACTGATGGTCATTCTATGTCTACAGGAAATGACATATGTGAAAGATTTCATGGCGAAGCTGCTCCCACGAGTGTAATACAGTGAAGACTGACAACAGGAAGGTGTAACTCGGGCTCACTTCAGTGTTTCTTACCGGATTCCTTGACCACCCACTTCCCCACACGCACCCACTTTGTGCTGATTTGTGACAAAAGTATTATGTGTCCTGATGTGACTGGAGCTGTTTAAGGTACAGGGTGGAGGCTGCTGCTCCTGCACTTCTCCCCAGTCCCTGCACACTGCAGGCTCTCATCACTGCTGCTTCACACACATTCTCCTAGTATCACATTTCATGTCGTTCTGATGTCCCAGGATTCCTCTGGAGACTACAGAAAAAACATCATATACCTCAGAGAAGCAGCCATGTATTGTGAGAGATATATGAATGTACCTTAAACACTCTGTCCTCCCAGGAACATAGCTCAGGCCCACAGCAGCAGGTACTGTGCCACAGTATAGTTGTACTTCCACAGCCATCTGTCCCCACAACAACCGTGAATCACACCTTTGGGACAATGTCCCTGTTCTCAGTGCTTGGGCTATGTACTTAGAAGGTTCATTATGCATTGGGAAGACAAAGAATTTGCTAATAAAGCAGTATTACCGTCTGCTTTTTCTTTAATAAATTACAAAGCCTTCTACCTTCACTAGAGCTTGTGTTTTTTGTTTCTTTGTGTGATTGGCTCTTATTCATTTATAGGACTTTTCAGAATATCTGTAGTCAATGGTGCCGGTCGAAAGCACTTGGCGAGTGTGAGCGCTGCAGCTGAATTAATTCCCCATGGGCCACTGGCCCAGGTATGTGATAAGTCTTTGAATGTGGTGTTTGCATAGTCTAGACCAAAATCAAAAGCAAAGCTAGTCGAAAGCCAGTATTAACAGAACCAGGGGAGAAGATGCCACCATATTAATAGTAAGGCCCTGTATGACAAGCGGAGGTTCTCTTAGTGGGAGGCAAAGTAAGTTGGGACCAGAATATCCTCCATGGGGGCGGGAGGGTACAGGGTCCAAATGTAAGCCAGAATAGATAAGAGCAAGGGAATGAAAATAGTGAGTAACCTTGATGAACATACTTAGTTTTTACCTGAGGAGCACCTTCCACATGCGACTTGCTTGATTGGCAGTCAGGCAACCACAGCCCTCATCTACCTTAGATTTTTTTTGTTTTGGTTCTTTCCTAGCCCAATTTTTTTTTTTTTCAATTTGACAATTTTTATTTTGTCGGAAGACAATGGTTCAGAGGGGTTCAGAAAGGAAAAAAAGGGGGGGGGGTTCAGGGGGGTGCATTTAAGACCCGTTAGGTTTGACATTACAGTTGATCATACCATGTATTAGCATTCGTACAATTCCTGACAATTCTATGTGCTTACATTGTGTAGTACTGATTGTGCTTCTTGTCGTTTACATATGGGTTGTACAGTGGGTTGAGCGGGTTATTGTACCCTGCCCTGCGCGTCCTCTGTGAGAGGAGGAGTGGTACTTATTGTCCCTACATGTGGGTCTTCCCATGGTGGCGAGCAGGGTGCGCTTATCCCCTCAAAAGAGACACATATAGTATGCCCGTCTGAGGGGGAAAAAGGTCTCCGTTGTGGAGGGCTATGAGTTGTCGGGCCATCTTTCTCTTGCGGGCTAATTCGATCGCTGCTGGCCGGCCTGTCTGCTCGTCTATGGTATATGGTTTTTTTTTTGTTGGTTTTTTTTCTTCGCCTTCTCAGGCTATCTGTGGTTATTCCTCAGGTGTGTATCCCTGAACAGGTCCAGGTATAAGAGGAGGTGGGGAGAGGCAGGGTGAAACAGGGGGTGGGGGGGGGGGAGAATAACTGGGATAACTAATGTGTCTTGTGTGGCTGCTATGAACCATCGAGGTTCTATTCTTCCTAGCCCAATTTTAACATTATTTGTCTCAGGCACAGACAATAACCTATATTGCTTCATTTTTTATTTTTTTTTATTGTCCTTAGTGCTTCTTTAAAAGTGACCATTGTAATAAGTCCCATATTATTGGCAACAATACTGCCAACTGATGCCCCCTCCTGGCTTATGTTACCAAATTGGAATCAAACAGTTGTACTACCTTTTAGACCTAACAGTCATTTTCACTAACTTGCATCACATTACTGTATGTGATCTACCACTATACTTTTGATCCATTTCGATTACAGCCCATTTGTCACCTTCAAAGGCTCTATCAGAAACTGGTATGTTCAAAGCAGTTCTGTCCAGGTCTGGTGAGACTTTCCACAACTAACCATAAGATACTCACGAAAAGGAAATGGAGCAATTGAAAAATAAGTTGCAGGGTTATTCACTAAAATGGAAATTCAAAATTAATTCCTAAATAGCAGAATTGGAAACATTTTCTAAACAAGCTATGCTTACAGTTTAGCTATATCACCCTAAAATTTGAAATTCTCATTATAGGGAAGAAACCAGATGGTTTCACTAAAGTGTAAATGCATACTGAATTTCAAATTTAAGGCCAGTGTAGCCAAACAGGTAGAAAGCAGAGTTAGATTTCCCCCCTCCCCCTGTTTATTTTGAAATGAAAGAACCAGTTTGGGCAATAACTTCATAAAAAAATTATGAGGCCAGGATATCTCTGGGGCATCTTTAGGGGTAAACCATAAGGTCTCTGTTCAAGCACCAGAATGCTTTCGCCCCTGTCCTTCCACTTCCTGAAACCCTAGATAATGTGAAAGTTAAGGGAGCATCCATGGGGGGGGGGGAGGGGGGGAGGGTGACACAGATTGGCTTAACCCCTTAAGGACACATGACGTGTGACATGTCATGATTCCCTTTTATTCCAGAAGTTTGGTCCTTAAGGGGTTAAAGAGGTCAGCTGATGCTAAAAAGGTGTTATGGTGCTCAAACAAGTCCTTTAAATTAAAAATTCACAGTGAATCTGGAGCCCTGTCTCACTGCCAGTATAATCTTTGTGTTGTAGCAATATTGCAATCCACATACAATTTCTAATAGCTATAAAGTAAGATTCCACAGATATTATACTTCTTGTTTACTGACCTTTACCGCGCACTGTCATACCAAATTAATTGAATTATTTTTACTGTTACTAAATGCACAAGCACTTTTTTCATTATTATTTGCTACCTACACTATAATAACCAACTATTGAGGAGTGACTAGCAACACTAAGTAGATATTACTGGTAAGAGAAAGTTTGACTTGTGATACATTCATTGTGGGCTCATCAATGCTACTCCTAAAAAGGACATGGGGCTGTTGATAGATCAGTGGTAGTAAGAGTGGAGCAATTGGCAATATTGTAACTTGGAAGAAGAGCTTGGTCCACATGGGGGAAGTAAATAAAAACCAGTAATCAAGTTATTGGTTTCCCTCCCCAAACATTTTTGTACCCTTCTTTAATCCAACAGTGATCAAACTATCCCATAGGGCCCCTATTTAGAAAATATTAAAAGGTATAGAATGTATTGGCTATATTCTAAGTGACTCTTCTCCTACAGCATAAGTTACCTTTAAGATGGCAGGGGCACTATGAAATATGTCCACATATACCCCAACATCCTCTATTCTGGGCCGTGGTAAGTAGCTAAGAGACATATACAGAGTTAGAAAAACAAGTTCACCTTGATCACTTCAGCAGCTCTGCAAACCACACAGCAGAGGAAAAACTAAAGCTGTCACATGACCAGCAAAAATGCAGGGCAAGTATATGACCCCCCTCCCCACCACTCAACAAACTGACATATCCTTTGTTTTAAAAGTATCAGTGAACAAAGATTGCTAGGGTTAAAAAACCCTCAACTTGTGGATTTTTTTCTGCTTGACTTATTAGTCTCCAAAAACAAAACACATTTTGAAAGAGACATTTATCAGAAAGTAGAAATATTAAATAATTTAGAAAAGCAAAAGGTCAATTAAATTATGGGAACAGATTTCAAGCTGCATGGAATGTCATGACCTCCTTTGTTTAGAATTTTGAAAAAAAAGTCTCTTTGAAACTCTCCACGCGGTTCAACATGATGGATATACGTGAGGTAGCAGTGATATTCCTTTACAAGCATGGATGCTTCATTGGAGGAAGACCTGAGATTATTGTTCCAGTTCTAGGGCTATGGTTACAAAGATTCATTTTGGGGTATTTGTTATACATAAATATTTAGCGAAGTATACTAATCAATCATATAGGGTGCAGTCTTGTCCTTTATGGTTGCAGTTCCAGGGATGTTCACTCCTTTGGGCCAAAGCCTGTAGGATTCTGCGATTGCCAACGCCACAGATCCTCACCTAGGAAGAGACATTCATCCATTAAGCACAGTAAAAGCAAAGGTAATAAAATGGGTTCCACACCTAAATCCAGTAAGCACTCAATAACTCCTAATTAGGAATAGAAGCAACACACTTCCAAATTATTGTTGGGCTACAATACCTATCATTTGTGGCTAGGATTTAGTGGCAATTCAAAAGGTGTAAGTTGACACTCTCCTCTCTCTGCTGTAAAGCAGTACTACTGAAGTTAGCCTGCTTCTTAAAAACCCTGACTAATGGATAGACTGCCTTCTGCAAGAGAATGCACACTTATCTCAGACAAAGCCAGTTTCCCTGTTCTGGACATTCCCCATGGCAGTTAAATGGTGAAATCATGTGACTGCCGAGAAAGATGGATTGACATAATGGCAAGTAAAAATTGATTTGTAATGGATAAGGTTATCACTATTTATATTTGGTGCCAGCACTTGGAATCAAGGTGCCTGCAATTAAGATATTAGTAATTAATCTTGTGAGTTTTCATACTTACAACATTGTTTATACTTTAAAATTGACATATCATGTATACCTAAGACTAGATCATGGTGTATGATATACAAGTTTGACAGTAAAATTTATCACACTCGTTCTAAACACTATACTTTCAAAGTTGTAAAACCCTTAAAAGGGACACTATAGTTCCCAGGACAACTACAGCTTATTGAATTTGTTCTGGTGAGTAGAATCATTACCGTCAGGCGTTTTGCTGTAAACACTGTCTTTTCATAGAAAATGCAGTGTTTAGATTACAGCCTGGGGATAACTGTTAGAGATCCTTCCTGGGTCATGGCTGCCTAAAATGCATCCAAACATACAGTATCTCATCCCTCTGCATGCAGACACTGAACTTTCCTCATAGAGATTCATTAATTCAATTGAGCTCTATGAGGAGATGCGGATTGGCCAGGGCTGTGTTTGAATCATGCTGGTTCTGCCCCTGATCTGCCTCTTTGTCCAATACTATGGGGAAGCATTGCAATTGGAACAGGCCACCACTTCTGATGATGTCAGCAGACTGCTTGTTTTTCTGAGTCTAACAGCATGCAGAGTTACAGCTTCAGGCTTGAATACACTAAGAGTTACTATATTTATGGAGGCATGAGGGGCCCAGGGGGGATAGATGGTGGGTTTAACACTATAGGGTCAGGGATACAGGTTTGTGTTCCTGACCCTATAGTGATCCTCTAAGTACCCGTGCTTGCTTGCATAGTCACAACTATTTGTTCTTGAAAGTATTAGATCCTAAAATGGAATGACTGACACAGTATGTTCTCAGGACTATATAGAGCTACCAAAGATAAATAAGCAGAACCTTACACGCTGTCAAGATATTGTTAGAGCTCAAATTGAGAGGACAGTAAATTGAAGCATTTTGTCCTTAACAAAAGACCACATACATGTATTCCTGATCCTATATAGTGTTAAAGCCACATCTAGCCCCTCACCCCTAAATATAGCAACACCTTACCTGGATACCAGTCTGCTGCTGCTGGCTATGCCCCTGATCTGTCTGCTTGGCTGACATCATCAGAATGTGTTAATCTAAGCTAATCATAATGCTTTTGCATTGGAAAGCATTGGATTGGCTGAGACTGTCAAGGAGGCAGATCCAGCACAAATCAAAACACAGCCCTGGCCAATAAGCACATCCTCATAGAAATGCATTGAATCAAAGCCTCTAGGCGTAAAGTTCAGTGTCTCCATGCAGAGGGTGGAGACACAGTGTTAAACTTCCCCAAGAAGCACCTCTAGCGGCCATCTGAGGAGTGGCCAGTGGAGGTATCCTTGATCTGTAATGTTAACTACATTTTCTCTGAAAAGACCAGGTTTACTGCAAAAAGCCTGAAGGGAATGATTATAGTCTCCAGAACAAATGCAATAAGCAGTAGTTCTGACGACTAGAGTGTCTCTTTAAGAGATAATAATGAAGTTCAGGTGAGAGATATTCTGATTTGAGGAAGAATAAATAATCTGTATGCTGTAAAAGTTGGGTTTTAAACATACACATTCTATCCAGGTCATATTCTGCCTTCCATCCTAGCTCTGCCGCAGCCAATGTAGGATCTGCATAGCATGTAGCAATGTCACCTTCCCGTCTTGCCACAATTTTATAAGGAACCTGGAAAAAAGAAGAATCATTAGGGCTCCTGTGCAGTCAGTCTTTCTGTAAACCAAAAGGCCAGACTCAACCTTTGTATTCACACACAAAACACACAACTCACTTCTTTTCCAGAAGCTTTCTCCATAGCTTTTACCATCTGGAGAACTGAATACCCAACTCCAGTACCAAGATTGTAAACCTGAATAAAAAGGTTTGGAATATCAGAAAATGTGCACAGGATAAAAAAAAATTAAAATTAAAAAAAATGCACACTCATGCAGCTTTATATGACAAAATCTTAGACCACATGACAAATTTAACATTTGGAAGGTTTTAAAATGAAATGAAAGTAGACAGAACGACAAGCTGTCAACCAGACTCTAGCTCCCACAGACTGGAGGAAGTAAAAAAGGAAGTGGGTGAATACATCGGTTTGCTTTTTTTTTTCTTCTTTTTTTAAATAAACAAACATCTAGTGTCAACATGAGCATGAAAAGGAAGTTTGAAATATAATGCAGAGATGTGAATTTTATCCTTGTCAGTACACTTACCTTACATCCACTGCTGGATTCTAATTTTTTAAGAGCACTGATATGACCTCTAGCCAGATCGACAATGTGGATGTAATCTCGAACACCTGCAGCCAAGCACAGAAAGCAACCATAATTTACCAATACACACAATTATCATATGAAGACCTGTGTTAGGGTTTAGACTGCAACTGGCTAGATTTGATAGGGAAGGAAAACAGTCCCATATGTGGCTTTCTCAGATTGTCGTACTCATTCTGCAGCAGGCCTTCCCCGGGTGAAGATGGATTACTTTTTGTAGTGGCTTGGGTTTTTTTTTTCTTTCCCTTTAGTTTTAAATTAGTGGTGTCGGGAATTCTGGATTTCACAAATGAGTGTAAGCACTTAGTATATCCACCACTAATTTAAAGAATCTTCTTAGCAGAGACTGGGCCCTTAAAACAGCATTAAAAGGACCACTCTAGGCACCCAGACCACTTCAGCTTAATGAAGTGGTCTGGGTGCCAGGTCCAGCTAGGGTTAACCCCTTTTTTTTTTTATAAACATAGTTTCAGAGAAACTACTATGTTTACATATGGGTTAATCCAGCCTCTAGTGGCTGTCTCATTGACAGCCGCTAGAGGCACTTGCGTGCTTCTCACTGTGAAAATCACAGAAGATTATGAATGCTTTCCTATGAGACTGGCTGAATGCGTGTGCAGCTCCTGCCGCGCATGCGCATTCAGTCGAGGAGGAGGAGGAGAGCTCCCCGCCCGGCTCTGGAGAAAGGTAAGATTTGAACCCCTTCCTCTCCCCAGAGCCCGGCAGGAGTGGGTCCCTGAGGGTGGGGGCACCCTCAGGGCACTATGGTGCCAGGAAAACGAGTATGTTTTCCTGGCACTATAGTGGTCCTTTAACACCCAGCACTCACAAGCAACCAAGTCCTGCAGAATCTTCTTAGCAGAGTTATCTCTGGAAGATTTACTCAAGAATTCCCATACTTATGGTTTCCTTTCAACTCTTAATTTAAAATTGTGTTCGATTCCATCTCCCTCCCTGTACTATCACTACTTAAATGAGAACTATTATATCTCCTATACTGATCTTCTGTTTTTCTTAAAGTTGGTATGGTCATGTCATTTTATGTTCATTCTCAAAGACTTTTTGTTAATTGTTTGTTTAGCTAGTGTTACTACTTTCACTGATAATCTTGTGAATTTATGTTCATGGTTTATGACTTTCACCTATCTGATCCTTCCTATCTTTTTATCCATAATGTTCTCTCCTTTTTCATCTCTAATTAATTACCTCAATAGCCCCATGTCTCCCCACCCATAATAGTGTGTTTACTGCTTTTTTTTTTGTTTTTCCTTTCTAACCTCAGACCTTATATTTCAGACTGTTCCCCTTAAAACAGCATTAACACCCAGCACTCACAAGCAACCGTGTCCTGCAGAATCTTCTTAGCAGAGGTATCACCTCGCCCCTTTCTTACACCAGATGCTAACAAGGAGCTTGTCCATGCCCTAGTAATTCCCGCATGGATTATTGTAACAATCTCCTGATTGGTCTTCCCAAAAGCCGTACTGTACCACTACAGTCCATAATGAATGCTGCCACCAGACTGATTTTCCTCTCTAGTCGGTTTTCTCACACCTCACCCCTCTGTCAGGCCTTACATTGGCTTCCTGTATGCTATAGGAGTCAATTCAAGGTACTAATTCACACCTATAAAGCACTGAACAATTCTAGCCCCTCCTATATCTCTTCACAGATCCATCTCTTCTCGGTCTCTCCGCTCTGCCTGTGACCACCTCCTGTCCATTGTTCGCACCCATACAGCCAACTCACGCTTGCAGGACTTCTCGCGGGCGGCTCCCTTCCTATGAAATAGCCTGCCTACCGCCATCAGACTCTCCTCTAGTCTTGCATCTTTTAAGAAGTGCCTTAAAACCCATCTCTTTAGGAAAGCTTATGGTCTCCAAGACTAACCTCTACCTCACATACCTGTCTCTTGCGCTCTTCTAAAAGGGCACTACTCTCTCCTCCAGCTCTGCCTCACTCCCACCCTATTTAATATTTCCTGTCCTATTGTGTTTTACACCCCACCTCCTATAGAATGCAAGCTCGTTTGAGCAGGGTCCTCTCCAACCTATCGTTCCTGTAAGTTTTTTGTAATTGTCCTATTTATAGTTAAATCCCCCCCCATAATATTGTAAAGCACTACGGAATCTGTTGGCGCTATATAAATGGCAATAATAATAATAATAATAATAATAGATCAGCAAATGCATTAACATCAGACATCAAAAATATTATTTCAGAATAGCCCAGGTCTCTAACATCTTATTAAATTTAGAATTTTTAAAGTCTGATGTTATTAATGCATTTACTGGACACCCCATATCATTTAAATTAGGGGTTGATCTACTAAGCTCTTACACTCATGTGTGACTTGTGATATGCTGAAATTAGGGGAGGTGGGGAGTTTTTTTATGTGTATAGCTGCTTCTTAATAGAAATGTATTGCTTATGTTTTATCTGAAGTAACATCACTGTTTTTTGCTCTCTTATGGATTATAATCCTGGATTCTTATTTGGCCTTTTTCAGAGCTGAAGAAATACATTTGAATAAATGAAACTACTGATGGTTACAGAATCAGTCAGAATCCTGACTATATTTGGCTTTAACAAATTCTGACCGCATTGACAAGTCTCATATTTACTAGTTTTCACGTTCAGTGAATAACCCTGCAAATGCAATCTTTATTAATTTCTCTGATTCCATATTAAGGAAGTATTTCACAATACTTTCATATAACGTGGCGGTCACAAATGCTTTCAATATTACAAATGTAGCCTAGCATAATTTTTTTATTTTTTTTTATATATATCTCAACTGTTTAAGAGCAGACACATTTCACAGAACTGTAACAATGTTGGTGTGTACATTACCTGTCCCATCAGGTGTATTATAATCATTTCCAAACACATTTAAGAACTCCCTCCGTCGCACAGCCACCTAGGAGGAATAATAAAAATAATGGCTTAGAGCTAGTTTCACATAAAAACACGTACACAAAGATTTTGAAATTCTACAGTCAGCTGACCTGAGAGACGTATGGCATTAGGTTGTTGGGAATGCCCTGGGGATCTTCTCCAATACGTCCTGACACATGAGCACCAATCGGATTAAAATATCTCAACAGAATAGCATTGAAGTCCTGAGTGTGGATAAAGGACAGAAGTGGAAATCAACCATTGCCTTTTTTGATGTTGTAGTAATACCCAACCTTCACTTAGATTATACTCTTTAGGGTCTCAAGAGGTCTTGAGGTCTACTCTGCTGATCCCTGCCTTCTTCCGGATGCGATATAACTAAAATAGTTGTATATTGCTCTTACACTCACCCCATTAGCTTTACATTGATCCTTTATCATCTCTTCAATAAAATACTTTGTTTTCCCATACGGATTTGTGCAGCCTCCTACTGGATGGCTTTCATCTATAGGCAGATATTTAGGATCACCGTACACGGTTGCTGAGCTGCTGAACACCAGTTTCTGGACCCCATGTGAACTCATTACCTTGAAAAAGAATGTACGAATGGTTACTGATCTTAATCATTTCAAGACATACCTTAATACTTGACATCTATGAACAAGACACACAGTCTAAATCAGGAATTTTATGATACATTACGTCTAAAAGGTAACCTAGACTTTCCCTTTAATATACTAAACATTGCACAAGAGGCATATATTTTACATGTACTTATCACTAGAAGCAGCCCAGATAGCATAATAGTGGCACCTAGCCAAGTACTTTATATGGGTTACTCAAACCATCATAACCACTATAGTCCACTGTAGCGGTTATGATTTGAGGAGCACTCAGTCCTCATTTTCAGAGGAAATTTGCAATAGCTCGACCTCTTAACTGGGTCCCTAACAGATTTTTCACTTCTCAGGTTTATGACATTAGGCTACTGCAGAGAGGCAGAACCCAGATACGAATCCGGACGCTCATTTCAGAGGAAAAACCAACTTCTCGCAGCCAATGAATGTGCATCGCACAGAATTGATATTAGCCAACCCAGTACTCTAGTTCCAGGTTGGCTAATGACAGACAATTGGGGCTGCTAGAAGTGGAGTAATTAATCCCACAGTTTAGGGGTCAAAACTTTGTATGCACAGCGTTTCAGATCTAAACCCCTACATGCTCCTGTCATGGTGTTTGGAGTAACTCTTTAACAGAGTAATGGCATCCATCATTACAACACGTTAACTCAGGGTTTAGCTCATACTCGTGGTTTGCTCACAAACAGCTGAAACTGAACACATTTTCACTATGGAATGATTTACAAAAGGAATAAAAAGAGGGAACATAAAAATGCCTGCATGTTTTATTTTCAACACATGACAGAAACCAAAATCAATGATACCAACAGTAAGCTAAGCCTTTTAAACATCCTCTAGACTGAGTATGATGCTAAGAACTCACCTCCAGAAGCTGGATGGTTCCAGTCAGGTTCACCTTGTAATAAAACAGAGGCTTCTCCACCGACTCCCCAACCGCTTTCAGCCCTGCCAGGTGCAGAACTGCAGAGAATCTGTGCTATGAATGGAAAATTAAAAAGTATGAATATGATCTAAAGGAGATTTAGATATGAAAGATTACACAGAAAGACAGCCACCTAAAACCACCATACCTTGTCAAACAAGCGGTTTAGACCCTCCTTATTAAGCATATCCAGCTCTTCGAATTCAAATTCCTTCCCAGAAATCTCCTTCACTCTTTGAAGACTTTCTGGGAGACCACCCTTTCCTAGAATAAACAAACAAAAAAAAAAAAAAAGCTTTTTTTCCAATAATTTTTTTAATGTATAAAATATTATCCAAAGATGCCTTCTGAATTTTGCCAAGGTGTGATTATTGTCAATAGAACCAACTGTAACACATTACATGTCTGCGGTACTTAAATCATAGAATTTAAATTACTAATTTTATTTATTTATTTATTTTTTTAAATACAATGTTAAACAAAAATCTGCACACCAGTCAAGTCATAAGACTTGCTTTGCCCACAGAAAACATTAACTATCTACAGACATCAGGTGGAAGGGGTTTTCAATCACAATGCTGGTGATTTGCATTAACAATGAAACAGCTGTCCATAAGTGGTTCACTGGCTTTGCTGTATACAACAGCTTTGAAACACAACTTAGGAAAAGATGCAAACACATATTTAAAAGGAATCCATGTTTAAAATGGAATGAGGCAGAGGGCGGGAGATGACGCATCTCGTGGTTTTTTTTCCCCTTGGCCGGTGGATTGGAGACACTGAGTGGGGAAGGGCGTTATTAGGGAAGCCGTCCAGACCGACCCAGCGATTGTCGCGGTTCAGGGTTAGCGAGAGAAACCGAGAGGGAGCTAAGAGGAAGCGGATGCCTGCCTGCTTGGTTGGTTGAAAAAGCAAAAGACCTATAGGTCTTTCTCTGATTGTTGCGGAAGAGAGAGGGGAGTGACCTCTTGGAACAGAAACGGATAAGTACACTGGCTGGTTGATAAACACCTATGTTATAATTAGGCACTAAGATAAGGGAAGTTACTTATTATTTAGTGTTTATTAACGGTCTGCAATAATAGCCTACTACTACTACTACTACTACTACAACTTCTTAATATAACATACTTTTATAACGGTCGATTGAAAATGCAATGAACCTGGTATATCGCTGGGACTAGTTTATTTACTGGAAGAGTAAGAGGTGCCAAAAAATTAAAGGAAAGGGGGAAGAAAAAAGAAGGGGGAAGGGAAAATAAAAGAAAGAAGGAAGGAAAAAAAAGAAGAAGAAAACGTAATATAAGAAAGAAAGGGAAAAGAAAACAAAAATAATAAAAGGGCTGGAAAGAAAAGCCTATAAAATATGGCCTAAAAAACCCCAAAAAAAACAAGACAGTAAACCGAGCTTAAAAAAACAACAAAAACAAAACAAAAAACGAACCAGTTACAGAAAGGAGGGCTTCAGGTTTTTTTTCCCCCCACAACTAAATAAAGGGAATAATACTAAATCTATACAAGAAGAATCATTACCCTTACTAGACTCTAAATAAGCTGAGACAGATAAAACAATGTCAGACAATTCATGGGAAGAGAATGTATCTATCACAGCTGGTTACTTATCCAAATGTTTGGAGATCCAGCTAGAAGAAATAAACTTGCAGTCTAGAGAAATAAAAAACGAGATCCACAATATAGGAAGAAGGGTAGAAGCTCTAGAAAATAAAACGGATTAAATAATTATACAACAAAAATGTAACACTGACAAAATAATTAAAATAGAGGAAAAATTGGAAAGCCTGAAAGAGAAGATTACAGATCTAGAAGATAGATCTAGAAGAAATAACCTCAGAATTAGGGGGATTCCAGAGACTGTAGTAAATACTAACTTGGAAGGTTACTGTGAAGAGTTTTTTTAAAGTTTCTGGTGATCAATTTAAGCAGTGAAACAAGCAGTATGGAAAGAGGTCATAGAACTTAAAAGCCCAGCAATGTACCAGATCAAGTCTAGAGAGATACAATTATTTGCTTGCAATCATATCGATTTAAGATGCAAATTATGAAGGCCATGACAAGTAAAGACCTAAAAGAGTCAGTTTATCAGCAAATCAAGATATTCCAAGATCTCTCATACCAGACGAGACTCCAAAGGAAATTATTTAGCAGGCAGACAGAGGCTCTCAGGAAAAATGAAATTAAATATGCATGGGGGTTTCCGACATGCATAAATCTAACATATAATAATCAAAGGCTGACCTTCGATAAACCGCAGAAATTATAACAATGGATACAAGAAGGGAATATAAGATAAGTAAAAGAATGATTTACAGGTTATTTTATTTATTTTTTTAAGATTGCACATTAGAAAATAAGTAAGAAGATTATATAAGACACTTTATATGAAATACAGATGGGAAACATTAGAATTGCACTAGTAAGTTAACACTTTTGTGAAGAGAAAAGGAAAGGCTAAAAAGACAAAAGAAAGGAGAGATCACAACAGAAATGAAGAGAATTGGACTTAATATTAACTTTGCACTCTTTCGATAATTAATTATTTACAAAATAAACATATGCACTAATAATCAGAATCACAAACAGAAAGATATAGGCACAAAATAAATTTTATGTCAGAAGTATATAAGCACTAAATTAATTAATAATATAGGGTTATGAAAGTGAAAGAAATAAGGAAAGGAAGAGGGACTATGACTAAACATTTAAGTCGGGAGGTGTAAAAAAAAAAAAATTTTTTTAAAAAATGGGAAAATAGGAAAGAGATTTTTTTAATTATTTTTTTCCCTTCTTATCAATCCTCCTGGCCAAGGAGAGTAGTCTAGCTCACAGATCTCGGTATTGAAACCTTTAGCGAGTTTAGAGAATGGGGATATATACGACACCGAGTAGAGAGTTAGCGTTGTTTGTTTTTTTGTGTTTTTCTCTCGCTGTTTTTGTCTGGGCCCCCCTGGAGGCAATGGGAGATCCAGGAAGGGAGAAAGACAACGGAGTAGATACATAGGTCTAGGCCTAAGAAAAGGCAGAATATGTACAATTTTGTGGTGTCTTAAATGTTTGTTAGTTATGATGGTGAACCTCTTAGTCCTGCAATTAAAGGAAATATGATTTATAAAATAATATGAGATTAGCAACGATTAATGCACAGGGGATTAATTCACAATTTAAAAGATATACAATCCTTGAATTTTTAAAAAAGGAACAAATTCAGATAGCAGCTCTTCAAGAAACCCACTGGAAAGTACAAGAAAAAAACAATCTTAAATCTAAGTTTTTCCCTACTATAATTAGTGCCTCTATGAGTCAAAAAAAAAGAAAAGAGGAGTAGCCTTTTTGTTCTCGAGAAGTATTTCCTTAAAAATTTTACATCAGGAATTAGATATAGAAGGCAGATAAATTATTTTGGTAGCAGAAATTAATAACCAAAAATATACGTTAGTTAAGATATACGCGTCAAATCAATAACAAATTACATTTATTAAAAAAGTGCTTAATAAAATTGAACATGTTAAAATGGGCCGAGTTATCGTTATGGGAGACTTCAACTGTGTTTTCGATGTAGAGCTTGATAGGAGCTCTAAAACAAAAGGCAGTAATTATAAAAACCTGAAGGTGAATGCCAAATTTTTTTTAGAATTGATCAAACAAGCTGAGTTACTGGATTATTGGAGGATATTCCACATGAAAGAAAAAGATTTCTCTTGCTTCTCCAAAACCTTCTGTTCATATTCTAGAATTGATCTGATTCTGGGGGACAGAAACTTAGTGAGTCAAATTAAAAAGGTTTTTATAACAGCTACTACCTGGTCAGATCATAATCCGGTTATTTTAGATATAAAGGAACAATATCAAAGAACAAGATCAGACTGGAGAATGAAAGACTGGATACTGAAAAATAAAGACAATCTTAAACAAATTAAAGAAATAACAGATTATTTTTTTAAAGAAAATAGAAATAATGAAGTCTCTCCAGCAATGACCTAGTGTGCATATAAATCAGTAATAAGAGGCCTTTTTATAAGTTTATCAGCTAATGAAAGCAAATTAAATTTTAAAAAAGCGAATTTAGCAGAGCTGTATATAAAGTTAGATAACTTACTTAACCAAATTAAAAAAAATCCATCGAGTAGTATCACTAATTCAATGATAGAAATTGAAAAATTAATAAATGAACATCTAATGGCAATGGCTAATAAAGCTCTGATCTACTTTAAGCAGAAATGGTACTATACCGGAAATAGAGCGGAAGCATTAATGACGAATAGACTGAAAAAAGAAAAATCGAAAAGAGTCATTACTAAAATCATCCATAAGGGGGAGACTTTACTGAGGCCGGAAAAAATAGCAGAAGCCTTCAAGAATTATTATCAGGAATTATAGAATATCCAGGATCCAATTAAAAAAGCGAATATCAGTGAATTCCTTGGGAACATTAATAGTCCAAAACTTACGCATACACAATTACAAGCGCTGAATAAAGTATTTCAAGAAGAAGAACTGATCTTTTGCATTAACAAATTAAAAAAAGAATAAATCCCCAGGGCCAGATGGATTTGACAACCTCTTTTAAAAATTACTAAGAGATAATATCAAAATGGATTTAAGTGAAGTCTTCAATTCTTTCGGAACACCTAATAGCATACCGGCAGAATTGCTGCAAGCAAATATAGTACCAGTCCCTAAGCAAGAAAAGGATACAGAGAAAATTAAGAACTATCGTCCATTCTCTCTTTTAAATACCAATATTAAACTGTACTCGGCCATGATAGCAGAATGCTTAAAAAAAATAAAAAATAAAATAAATAAAAAATCATACTAGAGGTGATTAATAGATATCAAGTTGGGTTTGTGCCAGGTAGGTCGTCAACACATAATATCAGAAGACTAGTTGACATTCTGAACTCCGTATGGAAGACGGGAGCTCCCATGTTGACCCGGTCATTGGATGCAGAGAAAGCATTCGACAGGGTCAACTGGGAGTTCATGAGGCAATCACTACAAGCATTTGGACTGGAGGGAAGACTTCGAGAATATCTCGGCTCTATACACTGTACCAACAGCAAGAATTATGGGAAATGACTTTAGAGCAGAGTGGTTTCCATTGTCCAATGGAACAAGACAGGGGGGTCCCCTATCCCCGCTACTTTACATACTATCTTTAGAACCTCTGGCATTAGCCATTAGACAAGAAGAGGAAATTTCAGGTTTTGACCATAAGAAAGAAAATATAAAAGTAAACTTATACGCAGATGATGTGATTATAACTATAGAAAACCCTCTACAATCAATAACACATCTTATGACAATTATAAAAAAAATTCTCACAGGTTTCAGGTTATAAAGTAAATACAGACAAATCAACTATCTTCGATAGTAATGTAAA